CAAATCAAAAATGAAACAAAAATAATAAATTGGCAAAGCTAGATGATATGACTCGTAAAGCATCCGGCAACGCACAATAAGTACTGCATTTCCAATCTTGATTGTGTAGCATGCACGCTGCATTTTAGCTTTTTAGTACATAAAATGCTCGTATTATGCAACTAGGCGCACTAGCAACACTGAATACAAAACAACATCTGCATAACATCTGAAGTATCAAAATCAACGTTCAAATTATAATATCCGCAGCTAGGATCTAGAGACCTAGAAAACAGCAAGAACGAGTTTCACAAAGCAACAGTATTATTATAGAGTAAACTGATTCTCAACAATCTTTATAATATAATGTATTAGAAAGCACGTGTATATCACGTGACTGAAAACATTGTAACAATAAAAAATAAAGTTGGACCTGGTAAGCAAGTTGGGGCTAAGAAGTAATCAGTAGGGAGCTGGTCTGTAATAGAAATGGTAAATATCTTTAGAGTAAGCTGGTGTCATGATAACGTAGAGTCTAGCGCTTTACCATGATTGGAATCCAACCATGGAAAAGCGCTAGACTCTACGTTATCGTGACATACTTGGGACGGTGCCACAAGGCTCAAAATCAAGAAGGTTATCAAAGGAACAGTTTGGCAAATTAATCCAAAGGCCAAGGATGTGAAAGTAAAAACAAGTGGTAATGAACATGAACATGAGCCTTAAGACTTAGTTAGGAGACCGCAGTAACGCCGAGTTGGTTGACTAATGAAAGAGATCACGCGAAACTATGATTCTTAAAGGAAGAAGGGAACTAAATTTAATAAAGATGGGATTAAACCATTTTGGCAGGTAGGGAGGGTCATTATGCTGCTTTTGCACAATACACTTAAACGGTATTACAATCACGATTGTAACAGCTGCGTTCTGCATAACCCAAAAAACTCAAAATGAACTTTATACATAAGAAAGTAAATGGGCTTTGGGCAAACATCAGCTTCACTTATCAGTGAAACAGCAGGAAACAGGTGAAGTTTGCAATTATCGAGGTTAATACTGTAAATCTAATCAGATCAGATTCCTAAACCCCAGGTCATTTATCTGGATCTAGGTATCAAAATAATTGTGAATTATGGGGACTTTCTGTGTACCTTATTCTCGTAATCACAAATTATGAATTGAGATGCCACACAAATTCAATAAGTCATTTTGAAAATGAAAGCAACGAGTACCTGACCATGGTCATTAGAAACGCCCCTAAAAGTTCGTTTTTTGACAAAATATTTAAAACTTCTGTAATTACATTTCTGTTTTAGTTACGCATTTGATTTTTAGTATGCGTATAGAAAATCGACACGGCTTTAAAATGAGATGTTCGGCGACCTCGTAGCTCAATCACTAGACTCAGTAAGAGTGATTGAACTGCGAGGGACAATTGCAGCTAAAGAATTAGCCTCATCACTTTTCAAAAAGAATTTTCTCATGTTACGTCCATGATATCCAAGTTGCAAATATAATCCATAGTGATTATACTTGATAGTTGATCGAGATCTAAACTTTAAATATTCGAGGTGAGCTAACCACCTTTTGAAAGGGTGAAATGAGGCTTACAAGACGTATACTTTTGTGTATACGTTCGGGCAGGTTCGGTATTGTGATTATCTAATGTGTCAACAATAAAGATTGATTCATCCTCTTCAAGCTCAACATTTCAGAAATTGCCGAGTCTACTTCTGTAAAATGTAAAATGACTTGTTAGCCTCAATTTGCCCTCGACTAAATGCTTCAATAATTTTATTAATCGAAACTCAATTAGTTGAACTATAGACATGTGAAATATCATATGCCTATCTTAAAAGTTCTTCCTGAATAATCCTGTGGCAAACTTCTAAAGTTAAATTGGGAAAAACGTGGTCCATCTCGTGCGAACTTTCCTAATGACCAGGGTCTGCTTCACAAATTTAAGAAGTTATTTTGAAAGCAACGAGTAAGGTACATGAAAATACAGCTATTGAATATGTTCCTTCACGGCTGTACATCGCTACATGAAATTCTTGCGATTTATCACGTCCTTTGTGCCATCCTCCTAATATTGAGATTATGTTTCTTATGCTCATAATGCATAATTTTCTACAGATTCTAAATAACTGTTTTCGTGTGCACTACAAAGTACAAATCTGTGTAAATCTGAGGATTATTGCACAATTCAAATGACGCAGTTACTCTCAATTACAATAAAGTTGATCAAAATAGAAATATTACAAAAAAAGCTACAAACTAATGACACCAAAACAAGAAAGAAACAGGGGAGAAACAAGGAAGAAACAGGGGAGTAACAAGGGAGAGACAAGGAAGAGACAAGGAAGAAACAGGGGAGAAACAAGGGCCAGGGAGAAACAAGGAAGAAACAAGGAAGAAACAAGGAAGAAACAAGGAAGAAACAGGCGAGAAACAAGGAAGAAACAAGGAAGAAACAAGGAAGAAACAAGAAAAAAACAGGGGAGAAACAAGGAAGAAACAAGGAAGAAACAAGGGAGAAACTACGAATAACGGACGTGACTTATCTGTTCAAAATCCCGCAACAACAGATAAGCTACGATGACAGGAATAAAGATCCTACAGTGAACAGTCCACAATGCCACCTAGTCCTCACACGCCTCGTGTATATTCACTGAGCTATATTAAGTTGTTCCCTTAATTTAATCTTACCTAATGTTATATTTCTGTAGATCATTGAATAGTTAAGTTACCAGACCAACAAAAAATGCAATAATTATATAACAAAAACATTCCTGTTGTGCATCATTAGCTGGAAAGAAAGACTGAAATATATTTTGAAAACAGATTTTGCTTGACACAACTAATCAAAGATTGAAAACAGACTAAGTATCGTGATGAACAACATCAAGTTAATGATACTCGGCATACTCCAAACAAAAGAAACACACAATATTATTCTGCAACACACTCACACACACACTGCAAAGATACACAGGAAGAACCTATTCCTCATCATTATCCGAAGAATGTAAACTATTAAGGTGATCAATCGAGTTAACAATGTTCCGGGAACTGATCCAGGGATATGAGAAAAGCCCGCTACACGAACAACACGCGATAATACCCGCAAATTGAAGTAATTGAAGTAAGGGCCGAGAGGGCACCGAGGGCACTTTGTTGGTGAACTAGTTTGTCATTGCCGTGTCCCGATATTATCTACATTGTTGTGTTGTGTTGGAAAAGTAATGTAATATTGGTAAAATTAAGTGTAAATTCAATGATATTAGGTAAGGTTGCAGTGGGTAAGGACATATCACGTATTTTGTTGGCGAAGGACAAAGGTCGAAATGTTTATTCCGGCGCAGCTGTGTCTCCATATTTGAGGATCAATGATCGGAAATATTCGGCAATGTTTTACGAAAACTAACTTAGTTATGTAATTAACTGGTTACTTAAACTGTAAAAACAATGTGAATTTATTGAAATAAACCATTCCACAAATGAAACATTCATTAAGCAGTTGTATTAATTCATCCAACAGTCAAGTTGCTTGAACAAATAATTAACATTGAATCTATTCTATGCGGCTAATGAACAATATCCGGATAGGAACAATCGCACAAACATTCAAACATTCAAACGTTAACCTTGACTCTGTTACAAAGACTCTGTAACATATTTGCCCCTTACTGTTCCGAAAATAACCAAAGCTGAAGGTAAATATTCGATGCACTATTTACACACAACGAAAGATTGATAGATCAAGTTAACAGTTACGATATTATTGATAAATCAGTCAGAGGGGTGGGGTACTCTCACGACTAAGGGATTTAGGCCCTGTAATCTGTATAATATGGTAATCAAGGTTGAAAGCGAGGCTGCAAGTCTACGTATTAACGTTAACGATTGATCCTAAATTTGATTTAACGAAGTAAATTCTTTAATTATGAACCGGCATATTGAATATTGATGCTGCGGGGGAATATTTAGAAAACATACACTGACATACACAAACATACACTGAACAGCTGCAGTGATTTTAAGCGACGGCAAGAATGGTAACATTTATAAAAAGATCAGAAAGTTAGTTTGAAGCACCCAAGACCATGTCAAGAAATAGCCATCCTTAACTGAAAAAATGCAAAGTTACCCCCAATACTGGCGAAACGACCAACCACGGCCCAGAAAACCTGTAGAAGCCTGGCCCCAAATAGCTACACGAGCTGTCTCATTATATTAAATAATTGTTCAATTACGGACACTAGTTTAAGTTAATAACAGGACATTATGTCCATTTAAAAAGTGACAAATTAAGTAGATTCAATGGACAAGGAAGGTTTCTCAACTGATCAGATGAAAGGTTCTTGACAAGAACAAGGAATGATGTTGAATATTTTGACGTTTGAAACATTATCTTAACTTACCAGTTCTTTACTTGGCAGTTTGTCGTAAATCATACAAACAAGACAGTCTCGTCTGGATGATAATGGAACGAAATAATGGATTTCCCTGTCACATCAACAATCTTAGTTTAATCTTACCGAAAGTTATGTTTTTAAGTTACACTGAGAAAAACGAATTGACAAACTCATGAAATTAAAGCGGTAAAATACGATACGTAAGAACTTATTTAATAATGTTATATCAATGACACACTGCAGATACAGAGTTAGTAATAATTTTTTCTTACACGGGGAGGTGTTTCATGATTTACGTGACCAGACTCACCAGAATATAATTAAACGGTAAGAAATAACATTACAAATTGCAATAGCCTCTAGGGAGGGTGAAATATCTGGAAATTAGTTGATCCGATTACTTTTATCCTTGGTGTTTGGTCTTTGCTCCAAAGGTTTACTGGCGCGGTATGGGATAGTCAGTATAGGTACTAGTTAGTAAATGTAATATGATGTGATTATCGGGGACGTTAATTAAAACGATTATAGTCAGTTGTACGGAAGTAACATTTTTGTTTCAGATTATATTATATATTTTGTTTCTTTTAACATATTTTAACTAACCGGTTGGCCAGTGTTTTCAGTAACCATACCACCACCACCACCACTCGGCATGTAACCATCCTCAGTAGTGTTACCATAGTTACCACTTGGAGCATCTCCGTATGTGGGGGCGTTACCATAGTTACCACTAGGGTTGCCGTAACTGGGTACTGTGGGGGCTGAAAATAAGTTATTTAAAAAATAGTTATTATTTTAGTTCTGAAACGTTTAATAACTTTTTATTTAAACACCCATGAATATTCCAGAAGTACCAAGGTCAATATTAATAATATATTACTTTGAGTAGCAACAATCAGATTTACAATGTACATAATTTTGTTTTCCATACTAAGTCACGCTTCAATATATCGTTTTGCGGTATGTTTTTATTGCCGAAGCGTATTATATTTATAAATATGTACTTGGATTTATTTATTACCCTTATTATAGGGGGGGGGGGGGGGGTGACATGTCTCCAATGTCTCCAATGTCTTTTGTCTTTTTTGAAAAGATAGGGTGCAGAGACATGTCCTGGAGACATTGGAGACATTGGAGACACAGCTTTTGGAGACATTGGAGACATTGGAGACATTGGGGACATTGGAGACATTGGAGACAAAGCTTTTGGAGACATTGGAGACATTGGAGACACTGGAGACGTAGATGTATGATTGGAGAAGGAGGAGGATCTAGGAGGAGGATGACCCAGGAGGAGGACTCAGGAGGAGAAGGAGGAGGATGAGGACTCATGAAGAGGACTGAGGAGGACTGAGAAGGAGGAGGACTGAGGAGTACTGAGGAGGATGGCGAGGAAGAGGACTGAGGAGGAGGAGTAGGACTGAGGAGGAGAAGGAGGAGGACCTAGAAGGAGGACCCAGAAGGAGGACTCAGGAGGAGGAGAACTCAGGAAAAGAACTGAGAAGGAGGAGGACTCAGGAGTACTGAAGAGGATGACTGAGGAGGAGGAGGAGGAGGAGAAGGACTGAGGAGGAGAAGGAGAAGGTGGAGGAACTAGGAGGAGGATGAACCAGGAGGAGGACTCAGGAGGAAGAGGAGGAGGACTCAGGAGGAGGACTTAGGAGGAATGAGAAGGAGGAGGACTGAGGAGAACTGAGGAGGAGGAGGAGGACTGAATAGGAGGAGGGGGACTGGGGAGGACTGAGGAGGAGGAGGACTGACGAGAAGGATGAGGAGGAGGACTGAGGAGGATGGCTGAGGAGGATGACTGAGAGGGAGGAGGAGGAGGACTGAGGAGGAGGAGGAGAAGGACTGAGGAGGAGAAGGAGGAGGACCTAGGAGGAGGAGGACCCAGGAGGAGGACTCAGGAGGAGGACTCAGGAGAAGGACTCAGGAAAACTGAGGAGTGAATAGGAGGAGGAGGGGGAGGACCTAGGAGGAGGAGGACCCAGAAGGAGGACTGAGGAGGAGGAGGAGGAGGAGAACTCAGGAAGAGGACTGAGGAGGACTGAGAAGGAGGAGGACTGAGAAGGAGGAGGACTGAGGAGTACTGAAGAGGATGACTGAGGAGGAGGAGGAGGAGAAGGACTGAGGAGGAGAAGGAGAAGGTGGAGGAACTAGGAGGAGGATGAACCAGGAGGAGGACTCAGGAGGAAGAGGGGGAGGACTCAGGAGGAGGACTTAGGAGGAATGAGAAGGAGGAGGACTGAGGAGAACTGAGGAGGAGGAGGAGGACTGAATAGGAGGAGGAGGGGGACTGGGGAGGACTGAGGAGGAGGAGGACTGACGAGAAGGATGGGGAGGAGGACTGAGGACTGAGGAGGAAGAGGAGGATGAAGAGGAGGAAGAGGACCCAGGAGGAGAAGGACTGAAGAGGAGGATGAGGATGAGGACTGAGGAAAAGGAGAAGGACTGAGGTGGACTGAGGAGGATGGCTGAGGAGGATGACTGAGGGGGAGGAGGAGGACTGAGGAGGAGGAGGAGAAGGACTGAGGAGGAGGAGGAGGACCTAGGAGGAGGAGGACCCAGGAGGAGGACTCAGGAGGAGGACTCAGGAGGAGGAGGAGGACTCAGGAGGAAGACTCAGGAAAACTGAGGAGGAGGAGGAGGAGTGAATGGGAGGAGGAGGGGGACTGGGGAGGACTGAGGAAGAGGAGGACTAAGGAGAAGGATGAGGAGGAGGACTCAGGAGGAGGATGAGGACTGAGGAGGAGGACTGAGGAGTACTGATGAGGATGGCTGAGGAGGACGGCTGAGGAGGATGGCTGAGGAGGATGACTGAGGAGGATGACTGAGAGGGAGGAGGAGGAGGAGGAGGAGAAGGACTGAGGAGGAGGAGGAGGAGGAGAAGGAGGAGGACCTAGGAGGAGGAGGACTCAGGAAGAGGAGGACTCAGGAGGAGGACTCAGGAAGAGGACTCAGGAGGAGGCCTGAGAAGGAGGAGGACTGAGGAGAACTGAGGAGGAGGAGGATGAGGACTGAATAGGAGGAGGGGGACTGGGGGAGGACTGAGGAGGAGGGGGACTTGGGGAGGACTGAGGAGGAAGAGGAAGACTGACGAGAAAGATGAGGAGGAGGACTGAGGAGGAGGACTGATGATTGAGGAGGAAGAGGAGGAGGATGAAGAGGAGTAGGAGGACTCAGGAGGAGGAGGACTCAGGAGGAGGAGGACTGAAGAGGACGATGAGGATGAGGACTGAGGAGGAGGAGGAGGACTGAGGAGGATGGCTGAGGAGGATGACTGAGAGGGAGGAGGAGGAGGACTGAGGAGGAGGAGGAGAAGGACTGAGGAGGAGAAGGAGGAGGACCTAGGAGGAGGAGGACCCAGGAGGAGGACTCAGGAGGACTCAGGAGAAGGACTCAGGAAAACTGAGGAGTGAATAGGAGGAGAAGGGGGAGGACCTAGGAGGAGGAGGACCCAGAAGGAGGACTGAGGAGGAGGAGGAGGAGGAGAACTCAGGAAGAGGACTGAGGAGGACTGAGAAGGAGGAGGACTGAGAAGGAGGAGGACTGAGGAGTACTGAAGAGGATAACTGAGGAGGAGGAGGAGGAGAAGGACTGAGGAGGAGAAGGAGAAGGTGGAGGAACTAGGAGGAGGATGAACCAGGAGGAGGACTCAGGAGGAAGAGGGGGAGGACTCAGGAGGAGGACTTAGGAGGAATGAGAAGGAGGAGGACTGAGGAGAACTGAGGAGGAGGAGGAGGACTGAATAGGAGGAGGAGGGGGACTGGGGAGGACTGAGGAGGAGGAGGACTGACGAGAAGGATGGGGAGGAGGACTGAGGACTGAGGAGGAAGAGGAGGATGAAGAGGAGGAGGAGGACCCAGGAGGAGAAGGACTGAAGAGGAGGATGAGGATGAGGACTGAGGAAAAGGAGAAGGACTGAGGTGGACTGAGGAGGATGGCTGAGGAGGATGACTGAGGGGGAGGAGGAGGACTGAGGAGGAGGAGGAGAAGGACTGAGGAGGAGGAGGAGGAACTAGGAGGAGGAGGACCCAGGAGGAGGACTCAGGAGGAGGACTCAGGAGGAGGAGGAGGACTCAGGAGGAAGACTCAGGAAAACTGAGGAGGAGGAGGAGGAGTGAATGGGAGGAGGAGGGGGACTGGGGAGGACTGAGGAAGAGGAGGACTAAGGAGAAGGATGAGGAGGAGGACTCAGGAGGAGGATGAGGACTGAGGAGGAGGACTGAGGAGTACTGATGAGGATGGCTGAGGAGGACGGCTGAGGAGGATGGCTGAGGAGGATGACTGAGGAGGATGACTGAGAGGGAGGAGGAGGAGGAGGAGGAGAAGGACTGAGGAGGAGGAGGAGGAGGAGAAGGAGGAGGACCTAGGAGGAGGAGGACTCAGGAAGAGGAGGACTCAGGAGGAGGACTCAGGAAGAGGACTCAGGAGGAGGACTGAGAAGGAGGAGGACTGAGGAGAACTGAGGAGGAGGAGGATGAGGACTGAATAGGAGGAGGGGGACTGGGGGAGGACTGAGGAGGAGGGGGACTTGGGGAGGACTGAGGAGGAGGAGGAAGACTGACGAGAAAGATGAGGAGGAGGACTGAGGAGGAGGACTGATGATTGAGGAGGAAGAGGAGGAGGATGAAGAGGAGTAGGAGGACTCAGGAGGAGGAGGACTCAGGAGGAGGAGGAGAACGACTGAGGAGGAAGAGGAGGAGGAGGAGGAGGAGAAGGAGGAGGACCTAGGAGGAGGAGGACTCAGGAAGAGGAGGACTCAGGAGGAGGACTCAGGAAGAGGACTCAGGAGGAGGACTGAGAAGGAGGAGGACTGAGGAGAACTGAGGAGGAGGAGGATGAGGACTGAATAGGAGGAGGGGGACTGGGGGAGGACTGAGGAGGAGGGGGACTTGGGGAGGACTGAGGAGGAGGAGGAAGACTGACGAGAAAGATGAGAAGGAGGACTGAGGAGGAGGACTGATGATTGAGGAGGAAGAGGAGGAGGACGAAGAGGAGTAGGAGGACTCAGGAGGAGGAGGACTCAGGAGGAGGAGGAGAACGACTGAGGAGGAAGAGTAGGAGGAGGAGGAGGAGGAGGAGGAGGAGGAGGAGGAGGAGGAGGAGGAGGAGGAGGAGGAGGAGGCTGTGTCTCCAATGTCTCCAAAAGCTGTGTCTCTAATGTCCCCAATGTCCCAAATGTCCCCAATGTCTCCAATGTCTCCAAAAGCTGTGTCTCCAATGTCTCCAAAAGCTGTGTCTCTAATGTCCCCAATGTCCCAAATGTCCCAAATGTCTCCAATGTCTCCAAAAGCTGTGTCTCCAATGTCTCTAATGTCTCCAATGTCTCCAATGTCTTTGTCTTTTTCGAAAAGATAAGGTGCGGGAGACATTGGAGACATGTCACCCCCCCCCCATTATATTATATGTATTAACACTTCAACATACCCGTATCATACCTCAATATTGTAACTGAAAATAACAACATCTCAAAAAACACTAAGGTTGCCAGGGTATGCTCACTGTCAGTAACATGATCACAATATCACAGATTAATTGATTAAATCTGTAGCAGAAAGTGAAGTTTCTTCACGAGTTAAAATAACCCGCCAATTCTCGGGGAGTTGCATAATTATAAGCAACTCCTGCACTGGAATATTATTATTCCCGAGTTTTGTAAATAGAGAACTTTAACACACAGTAACATACTTAGTTCAGAACTCTTAATCAGAATCCTTAAAGTAACCTACTCTATTTGACCAGTAAATAACCAATTAACAACCAATTAATAACCAATTAATGACCAGTAAAACTACCCGGTACTAACCGGTGAATGGCTGGGTGTTATCGTAGGTCCTTGTGCTGGGTTCATCCTCATCAAAAGTCACGTACTTCTGAGCCGGGGCGGTGGGAGCTACCATCTGATCCGTTCCGTTCTTCATTGGACTACCGTCTGAATTATTAGAAATTTAATCTAAAGTATTAGATAATTTATAAATATCGTTGATCTCTAGTTTAAATATGTATTTTAATTAATGATCATTGATCAGTTTACAATCAGTGAACAGTTTTGAATTTCAAACGAACAAACTTGAATCGTAATTGCAATTGTGTGATCCAGCTAAAATCTGTTTTCAACAGTAAAATTGTAAAAATGTCGACAATTTTACGAACAAATACTTCACAACGATAAATGTTAATTTATCAATTAACCAATTAATCGTTCAAATAATCATGAGTCTCAAACCGTTTATTATATCCACTAGCTCATTAAATTTCGTGTTTTCAATAAATAACGAAGGATTGATTTACGTGGTCGGATTTTCATACCATTTTCTATTTGTGAGAAGACATCATGTAAACTGTCCATGTCAGTTAGTGAACTGTAAAATGAACAATGTAAACTAGAAAATGTTGTTCATGTATTATTCATTGTATCAATTTAAACTATGCGATGTATGATGAATGTATAATGAAGCGAGGAAATGTATACAATGTAAAATGAATGTGTATTTTCGGACTGCACGTATATATAAATAAATACACAAATATTAGGTGCCATTTTTCAGAATAGCACCGTTAAAATTAGACAGCTCATTCCCGGCATTTGGCGTGATTTTCCGAAATCTATTAAAAATCTCCTCTAGGCCTGCAACTTACAGAGGAAAGAAGGGCGGCAATACACGCAACAGTACAATTAAAACCAACCTGAAACAGGTGTGGTCAGTATGGCACTGTTGATGTTGCCCCACTGAGAGCAATCATCATACCTTAAACTGTGTTCCCGCATAATACGGCTCAGAATTTATGTCGTAAAATAGGGATTTTTTAAACTGTTCCGGTCTGTTCCGGATCTAGTAAAGAAACAGCGATCTGGTCGGCAGCTAACGAAAACAAGAGGATATACAACACAAAGTGTACACAATGTAAATGAATGAAAAGTGTGTGTCTTCACATGGCACGTAGATAATTCAACTCACAAGCAAGCTGCAAGAGTTTTACAATATGAGCAGTGGAATGATAACATGAAACGTGATACTGAGTATTATAAGTAGTGAATTTAACAGTTTTTTGGAGATGGAAATTAGTTTTTGTTAGGACTCGTGACTGCTGTTAACCACTCGCTGATCCGCAACGATCCATTAAATTTGGAAATTGTTGACACCCTCTAAAAACATTTATGCTTTCTTTGCACCAGTAATTAATGAGCTATCAAGTTATAAGTATATAATTAGTTTCACTTACCAAGGTTAAGATCTACAAAAGAACCCATCGAAGAAGGCATCTAACCTATTTGGTGATGAAATTGTTAGTTAAATAGTTGAACTGCTAGATACAAATAGATTATCGTTAAATTATTAACATTAACAGGTTTACTAAATTGGTAAAATGTCTGAATAATTTAATGTTACTGGGTCTCAACCTGTGATTTGAGGATTACAATCAAGTTTATACTTCTCGATTAATAAATTTATTCGAGAGTAAATTTAACGGTTATAAGTAAACCATGGAATTTGTATTTAGAAACAAAGCAAGATAAATTAATTTCCAAATCAAAGTACATCAAAAACAAACAGCTCTTATTATTCGATACTAAATCAACCCTTACTCATCACCTCTGCTTAACAATAATAATTATCAATAAATAATTAGTGCAACCACCCCAAAAGATACAAGATTCTGTGTATTTACTCAAAACGAAGTCATCAAAATGTTGTCCCAAAATTATACGGATCAGCAATCTGCATAAACAGTAAAGTAAGCATGAAGTAGATTTTAATTATACCTTACATCAAATAAAACATAAAGCCAGACCAAATGTAGAAAAACAATAAATAATTTACTACATTAATGCAAACAATTCACAGCGAGAAAACCATTTTCTTTCTTCTCAATTGAAATATCAGAGTTTTAACTAATATTATAAGTAATAGGATACAATGGACAAGGTAAACACTAAACAGCGTAGGAAAGCAGCTAATAACCTCATAATATAGTAGCGACGTCATAACGCGACGATGACATCACAAGCTAATGATGACGTCATAACATTAGAAGAGGAGGCTGTAGGGGTATCCTCTGTGTTTCATACGGAATATAGCGAGCAGAATAGAGAAGAACACTACTACCAACGCCAGACCTCCGTAACTCATATCTGAAAATATAAACCTTCAGTTTTACTAAAAGTAGCTTATAAATTTGTACGTTTCTTATGTTGTAAAGTGCTCCACTGGGGTGAATTAGGAGTAAGTATATATGCTCGGACAAAGCAAACTAAATGTGTAGACCAAGTTTAAGTTTCTTGACGTTTGAATCAATCATCAGGTAGTAGCTTATAAAGTAAATGAGTATACTTAGTAGCTTACAAATAGTACAATTAGTAGCTTACAAATGTAACGTTAAGACTAGCGAACTTTAATCGTTAATCGATTACTTCGTACATTGTACTTAAAATCGAATATGTAAAAATCTCTGCAAGCACAGGACGAGTGGGCTAAAATAACAAGTTGTTTCCTTATATATTAGGGTTATGTTATACAAGCTATTATAACTTACATTACCTTGTAATGTGGCGTCACATCATGTGTACAGTGACACAAACACACAAACACGCAGAACAATAAAGCCACAATGTGTCCAGGCCCTAACTTCTACATTCTACACTACATTCTACACTAACTTCTACATTCTACACTACATTATAACCGAAAACTACAGTCACAAAAGCAGAACAACGTGTGACACAGAGTAACTGGTGGGGTGCCGTGTGGGGTGCAACATGAACACAGTTTGCATCATTACTGTAACCTGATTCCACACCTACCACTACCAATGACAATCCAGTGTTTTTCAGGGTTTTCCTAAGATTTACGTTGCCATCTAAACAACCGGAGATGAAGTTTGGTATTTGGTCAGATAAGAAGGTTCTGCGCGCAGGTCTTCTAAATCATGGTAACAATGGACACATCTGCATATAATTACACAGCGGTAATTATTACTGTACAATTTAACCACATGCAATCACGTCAAATTGGTAAAAGTGGATTATATCATTTATAATATGTATATTGTACACAATTTAAATCAACGCTACTTTCTGCTCAAAAGGTATCTCAGAGACTACGGTTCAATGTTTCCATCACTAAACACGGCTCACAACAACAACAACAATGAACAAACTACAAGATTACGTGTAAGAACTAGGAATGTGCTATAACATTCCTAGATGAAGCACAAAATACTCCAACTATATGTATAATACAGATCAAAACATGACACAAATGAGACTAAATGAGCTTCATGTTGATTGTTGAAGCACACAGCAATGATTGTAGCGCACGCAAATATAAGCAAGCTATTTATAGGAGTAAAGTCATGGTTTTACTGTTTTAGGCCATATTTTACAAAGCCATCTAACTCGAGTTATGACGTAGCATGATAAAATCTCTATTTAACCTATTCAAGCAGTATTTACTTAACCTATTCAAGCAATATTTACACAACGTCTTCCCGTTTAAATGTAGAAAGTTGAAGAGAGAACTTACATTTGGAGTTAAGGTTAGTTGGATCTTTAGGAGCGTCTGCCATCATGATGAAACCAAGTGCGATAACCCCGTTAACTACTGCTATTATGTAGGACTCAGCCACAAACATCATGTTACTGCCACCGTGGATAAAACTGGTTCTACCTGAGGGGGTTTATTGTAATTTACTAATTAATTAAATAATTAAAAGTTAGGAAACGATCGTTTTTCCAGAACATATGATATCGGCTGTGCATGATGAAACATATTTTTGATTACATATTTTGTGCAAATATTTCGAATTGCCACGTCTGCAATCTGCCATTACAGTATCTGATATCATTTTCACCGATACTTATTTATAGCACACTTCACAGTTCACATTTCACAATCGACCCATCTCTAGACCCAATCATGCAAATGAGTTTTTGTCACCACCACCTACAACAAGAGTCTGTTATCAGCATCACGGACAAAGGATAGGACAAAGAAGACACTCTCTGCCACACTCATAGAGCCTGGCAAACTCTAATCAAAGGTTAGTCTGGCAGTGGCTCACACTCTGTTGATATCTCTATAATGAGATTTGTTTGAGGCCTCTCAGCTTCCCTAGTTGAGTGTGTCCCACAACCAAGCTCATTACCCAGAAGTCCTACATTATATATCTATTATAATGAATCTGGACATACGTGGCAAGTACAGCTCAATATGAAGAAAAAAATCTGATATCAACACTGTTGACGACAGACTTGGTTGGTAGTTACTCGGTACAATCATCAACTTGTCAATACGTTTTCTTATAGACCCGTCAAAATAAACCATAAGAAACGTAAAAAGTCAGGTACAATCAGCTTTTTCAAGGTTGTTAAAGTTGTCAATGGTTGTTAAAGTTGTTAAATTGTTAAAGTTGTTAATGGTTGTTAAAGGTTGTTAAAGATTGTTAAAGGTTGTTAAAGGTTGTTAATGGTTGTTAATTGTTGTTAAATTTGTTAATGGTTGTTAAAGTTGTTAATTGTTGTTAATTGTTGTTAATTGTTGTTAATGGTTGTTAATGGTTGTTAAAGGTTGTTAAAGGTTGTTAAAGTTGTTAATGGTTGTTAATTGTTGTTAATTGTTGTTAATGGTTGTTAATTGTTGTTAAATTTGTTAATGGTTGTTAAAGTTGTTAATGGTTGTTAATTGTTGTTAATTGTTGTTAATTCTTGTTAATGGTTGTTAAAGGTTCATTACCTGTCTCCCGGTCAACGTGAGCGAAGGGAGCACCTCTGATATGAAGCCACATCTGTCCTGACGTCATAGCAAACATTATAAACTGAAGAGTAGATTTATTGTTGGTTGTATGACTGTGATAAGGATTGGTTCGACGGGCAAACTAATTTAGCGGTTATCATCTTGACTTTATTACATGACGAGATTCTGTTTTATTTGAACAACAAAAAAGCCTAGAAGATCAATGAAAATAAAGTTACTGAAGGACCACAACTAACCATAGATGTGATAGCCCAATATTTCCACTTGTAAAGGAAGTCCAGGCTGTTTCCCTTGATGAGCAGAGTACCAGACACAGCGAACAGGAACACACCCAGAAGAATAGCGTTAGTGTAGTTTGGAGGTCTGATCACTTCTATTCCTATATCTGTTCTGTCTTTTACCCACTTGGAGATGGATTCGGCGTTTATTCCCCTCCTGAGATAATATATGGTTGAGAGAACTTGATTTCTGAGATCAGAGAGGCTTAATTCAAATGATCAGGCTCTATTGCGAATAGCATGTTGAAGTCTTACTATAAAACTGACTATAATCATCAACTTTTAATTCCAAGTACCTTTCAAGGTCGAATTTGTCCTCCTTCTTTCGTTTACCACTGGCAGGGAAATGCAGGATTACTGGGGCTGAGGTCAACTTCAGCTGAAAATAGGAACTTGATTGAATAAATCTGTCGCAAAAAGGTAAAGTAACTACAAAGATTACACAATTACAAGTCAATTGCAATGAAACAAGAAATTTCAATGAAACAAGAAAAAGTGGGAAAATATTTGTCGTTATGAAACAACTATCTCCGAATTAAACAAGTAATTAATCTGGGGGAGGATATGATAAACATTTAAGATAACTTAAAACTTACCCTCTGAAAGATAGCAGCACCCCCATCATAGTCTACCATTGTAAAGAAGATGTCACTGTTAAAGCTACGGGAGTATCGGTGAGACCTTGCTAATGTTGTGTACTCAGTGTGCACCTCTCTGGAAAAGATAGGGTTGGATTTAACATAAATTTGAAAGCTAATTGTGCTTGTCATATTATTTGTCTCATGAGTCTGAAGAAATCTTATATCCTGTGACTCTTCATCTTATACTGTGTATCCAAAACTGAAACACTTACTTGCAAATCTTGCAATTTCTGTTAGGGGAAAGAGCAGTAAACATGACAACAATACTGTAGTTTCTAGGCATTGTCCTGATGAAGGATTTGTACTTGTCATCATCAAGTTTTACAACAGGAGTGCGGTAAGAGATCTCATTCAGCTGCTCAACTCTGGTCTCCAGTGACTGAGGTAATAAACTGGTTTTCATGTTATTGTTGGTACAAACCAATGATTTAACATAATCTTCACAAGAAAAAACATTGAAAATGAGAATAATTGCAATCCTTATAACTTACATTGGACAGTGCTGAGGCAACGAATGCGCACAGGAGGACGGCTGTAATCATATCCTGATCAAGATTTAGGTTAATAAATTGTGAAATTGTAAATCACAAATATACCTATCTAAATTATTGCAAATTTTGTTACCAAAACCTCACTGTGGGAATGTTTCCAGGAAAAAGAAGAATCATTTTAAAATAAGGTTCTAGGCAAAACGCTCAGTTGGGGTGTACAGTGTTGTAAAAAGTGTAGTAAAAAAGGTACAATAAATTACACTTTTGTACACCTTAAATTACACTTAATTAAATTATCTTCTCAAAATCTTCTTTTCTCCTATTATTTTCTCATCAGTCTTCACATAACAAAAATGTCACTTTTACACACTTTTTTAGGCCTTTTAAGGCTATTTTACACTACACTTTGTTACACTATACTTTAGCCTTTTTTATGTATGGCGTAAAAAAGGGTAGAGGACCCCCTCAGATCTTTTTATTCTATCCCAAACAGAATTGTTTCACAGTTGATCAACTAGAACGCCTTTGTTTTACTATATAATAAATAAACATTACTTTGATTAACATTAACACAACAGAGTTTCTCAACAGAGTTTCTGCCACGAAACAACTTGCACCGACAAACTTTCAACGCATACTCAATACTGTATAGATCAAGAAAAACTCTAAATCCACAAGTAGAATACAAACTAATTTAATAAATTTAGATACTAACTAGTCAGTAAACATATTACAAACAAGTGCTTTGAGAGAGGGCTAGATTTATAAGGCCATTGCCTGTCCGCTTATTGGGCCCAATAAGCACTTAAACTTGTTGATGAAAGGCAATAACATAAAAAATGCTTGGAAGGTCGGAAAAATAGCCAGAAATAGATAAATTGTCAGACATGATGTAAATAATTAGTAGCAAATTATATCATGATGCACCTGTAACATGCACATGTAAAACTGGTTTATACAGATGTAACAAATTTCTCAGTTTATTCTAAAATGTTTATTGATTCACAAAGTATCAATTTCCATTTCGCACCAGGTTTATAAATCATTAGTTGATAATTGTAAAAGCAAATATTCTACCGTAGCAAGTAGCGCTCGATTTCAGTGATTTGCTAAAATTTTGCGCGGCGCACTTTTTGTTCCTCTAACTGCCCACACTATTTTAAAGCATATAAATTTGGTCATGTAACTTGACCATTGTTAATGATCTGGCCCAGCGCGCGTTACTTCGTAGCACGTGCCATCGGGTTCACCTAACCATGTGCTTTCGCGCCACTTCGGGCGCGCTTGTTTCACAAGTCAAGAAAAGTGTTTTACCGCCGTGAGGCGGGCGCGCGCTACTGCAAGCGCAAGGGCTCTGGATAGAGCAACCATCGGGCATGTGCCATCGCACGAATTTTAGACGAGTAACATTCGTCAATCATGTAACATAATGGACTTATTTGATATTAAGCCATATTTTGTAATAGCATTTTTAATGTTATTACATTGCATTCGAGCGTTAACGGAGGTTATTCGTCTAAATTTCTTCGAAGTAGCGCGCGCCGCTTTCTTCTCGAAATGTTGGCCCGATGGCAAGTGCTACGAAGTAGCGCGCGCCGGGCCAGACCATTAACAATGGTCAAATTCGAGCGTTCACAATTAAAAATTATTGCATTACATCGAGATAAAATGATTGTTCGCGCGTCGTGTCGAAGTCCTCCAATATAAGGCAGTGTTATTTAGTTATTTGTAAGTTTATAACCTACCAGTGACCAGGACGCGCGCCGAGTTGGAACAGATATTTTACGAGTATCACCCGTTAAAACCTACCAGGACGCGCGCCGAGTTGGACTCGTCGACGGTCCTGTATATGGAACAGATATATGGAACAAATATTTTACGAGCGTGCTAACTCACTCTACAGTCGATTTTCAAGATTGTTCTAAAAAGGCCCCCAACGGTTGTTACCGACTTCAATTGATGTATTTCGGACGCTGATTCCGAATCACCCCACATGACATAGGATTAAAATGCTCCCCTGACGAGATATTGGCGAAAAACTGTCTCGATCACGTGATATGACCGTATAAGGAAGTTAGTCTAATTTCTCGTTAGGGTTAGGGTTTCAGCATATGTTTTTGTTAAGGATTGGGTTAGGGTTAGGGTTGGGATCAGATTAGAGGGTTAGGGTTTCGAAAAGTCGTTCAGAACCAGCTGGAGAACGGGTTGAAAAAGTTACGTGACAGTCGAGTGTAGAGTGATTAATCATTATCCGATATTTTACGAGTATCACCCGTTAACCGCATTATCAATTATTACCGGCCAGATCCAATTTTGACCCGGGGATATACTTTAATATGAATATATCTATATTATCTCTATTCAAAATTTTGAACCATTTTAAAGTACCTTATCGGACCTTATACTATTATTTGGACGGACATTACTTGTCATACATCATAGTTCCTAGTACATTGTATGACCCGCCGCGCACTGTATCGTCACCATAGTGAAACGACCGTGGGAGTTGCAACGTGATACAAGACATTCATGAACGGACATAATTATGAACGAACATTAATATGAACGCTCAAATGCATTCAAAACCATCAAAAATCCGATTTTTTTCAATTTTTTGACGTTTTTTTTAATTTCAGCAAATGATTTTTAAATCCATTTTTTGTACAGTAAGTAATATATATATAAGTAAGTATATACAAGAAAAACGGTCATTAAGCAGTAAAAATGTTAAAATATGTGTACATGATCAGTGTCTAATATCACATATGACTGATGACATATCATCTTCATCAAATGGGTTTTCGTGCATGAAATAGTCCATGCTTAAACAAGCATCAGTGATTTCTAGCTTTATGGAAGCCTTTTTTAATCAAACAACCCCGGTCCTGCATTTCAGTGTTAACTTTTACAAGCCATTCGGCTGCCAGACCTTGGGTCAGAAGTGATATGACCACCATATACGTCATGAAGTAATTAACATGCAAGATTGAAGCTTGTTGCGTATAATTAGTGATGTGATCCATGGTTTGAATATAATTGACCTACAAATGGGCTAGATCTGGGGTAGAGTTCATATGACAACTCTGTAAGTTCGTAGATGTGCAGCTGGGAGGAAGAACGAATTCAAGTGAAGTTACAGCCTGGTTTGGAGCATGGTGCTGTGCACCTGTTCAAACATCTGCAATACGCCACTGAGATACAACTGACCCGGAAGGAGCGTGAAGTTGTTTATGCCCGGATCAGCCATAACAGCTATTTCGGACACCCTGAATCAGTCATTCTCGCTAAACTAGGTATTTATTTAACACCATAACACAGCCTTTATATAATATACGAAAACATATATATTTATAATATTGTATAATTATATACATCAGATTTTCAGTTTTGTGTCCTACGCAGCACTTTATCAGTTTAAGTAATTGGGATATATTATTCATTTCTATAAAATCTTTTAAATTTGATTGAATGATGAATTTCAGCCGATGATGAACAAGATGTGCGGAGGGAGGGTGTGGCCGATTGTCTGAAAATCCTTGACTGGGAGGAGAAGGTGCCACCCTCCCGACGTGTGAGGGTTTTTTACAAGCCATACTTGGACATGACCGCAAGGAAGTTCACTGAGCTCCCCATCTACAAGGAGGATTCTTGTGGATGGTGGTTTAAAACGGGAGTCGGTAATAATTATTATTATCAAAGATACTTTCTTGCATAATATGTGTCATATGGGGGGGGGGGGGGGGGGGGGGGGGGGGGGGGCCCATATGTTAACGATCAGCTTAATCAATCATTCATTCAACATATTATTATACTACTACTAGAACTAACGTGTCCAAGTTAGGTTATAGTTTCTTCGGTCTCAGTACATCAACATGATGCAAACAAAAAATAACACCATTATCCTCAGCAAAGAAGGAGTCCGAGTATGCTCGCCGCTCGGGTAACCCTACCCCCCTTGCTACGTGGTCTGACGAGAGCCGCTATCATATCATACATAAGAATGCCTCTCAAAACAGAGTTTTTTAATAACAACCAAGCTGTTGAGAGGCAAGTGGCGCTTATGTCAATCTGTGGTAAGAAGGTGGTAGGGGAGGATAGGAAGTCTGGGCAACAAATTGCTGTCGCAGAGCACAGACAGCAAAAGAAAAAGCAGAAGAATTGAAGGTACAATAAATCAGATATACTGTATTTCCTAAGTGGCTCACAAGTAGGAGCTCAACCATTATTTCTTGTATTGTCACAAAAAACGTCGGTAGCTTAACTTAATTTCAGATCACATCATTATAATGGATTATAAATAATGCTAAACATTAACCATATTAAGTGAAGAGTATTATGTAGGCTTTTAACAACCATATAATGCTTTATATCCCACACCCAAGTACAAAGTAACGGAAATGCAATTGATTTTAACCTGTCGACAAAATTTCAGAAAAGATTCCCGCAAGCAAGCATGTTCCTTCGTTCTGCTCTGATCTCTACTCTGTTACTAAGTTACTAACTGATGATGGACTTTGATACGATTCGTTGATATGATTTATGACGTATTGTATATAGCTTACATTTAACCATATCACAATGCTGGCAAGCATGACCGCCGCTCTTATATTCACAATACTATTTACCCCCTTTACTATTTACCCCCTTTACTATTTACCCCCTTTACTATTTACCCCCTTTACTATTTACCCCCTTTACTATTTACCCCCTTTACTATTTACCCCCTTTACTATTTACCCCCCTTACTGTTAACCCCCCATTCTAATTCGATGTTAAAGATAACAGGAATAAGAAATAGTTATTTGGAGGATTTCAAGAAATTTGTGCAAAATACGCGCCAGCATGTTATACGAAATTAGGTAAAAAACCCAAAATCGCCATATTCAGGTGCCTTAAAAACCACGTTAAAAATGAGTAAGAGATCTGAAACTTTGCAGGGTGTCTAGACGTTGACCAAATCGAGTGTAAATGAAATTTCAAGTTTCAGGAGTATCGGGAAGTGGGTTTCCTGGAACCCCTGTTTTACAACAGATTGTCGTGAAGTATAGTATAGACGCTTTGTATAGACGCTTTGGCAGTCAATTGTAGCCTACATTTAAGTGTCCGTAGATTCAAAAGTATAAAAGATACAGTCATCTCGAACCACAGGTTTTAAAGATAATCGTTTAACTTTAGTTTTCATTATATTTAAAATAATTTAACGCCATTATCATCACTTGATGACGTCATCAAATTAAGTGTTTTTAAAACTTGTTTTTTGACAAAATAACAACTTTTAAGATCGATTTTACACCATTAAAGAGTAATTTTATGCAAAATCTGAGGACATTTTCATCTTAGATAATTGTTTAGGCATTCTGAAAATCTACCGGAAAAGTTTCCTACTTTGCTCCTTCATAAAGATATTCGCTATTTAAGTTAGTGCTTTTTTGAAGAATAATATTATAAAAACACAAAAGTTGTGAATTAGTATTCTCTGGTGTTGGGCCATCCCTTGGATTGTGGAGCTCAATTTTGCTTCCTGAAGGTCTAAATTGTGTTATAGGCTAGTTTTAAAGTTGAAAATAAAAAAGTTGCACACGTGGGGTCACGCCCAAATTGATTTAAAATTGCTAAAATCACTGAAAATTGTTATTTTCATGATTTTTATCAACTTTGGAGTCCCGTTGTGATCCAAGTTCTTTTTGAAATCTTCTGAAACTTTGCATGCTTATCAAACTATATATAAAATACCACTATGCAAAAATTTACGGTGATTCAATGTTGTATGCGCACGAAACGTTTGCTCAAAGTTTGCACGTGCGAAAGGTGATAATTTTGCTCCTGCATGATTTCGTTTAGATTCTACTTTCCCACAACAGTAAAACAATATATTATATGAATTTAATACCAACTTGAATGAATTTAAATTGACATATTCAGTCAATGATCGACAGATATGCTACCTCAAACACAAGGAAATGTTTTAAGGCAATTTTAAAACGTTGAAATTGCATCCTTATAATTATTAACTTATAGCTTATTAATTAAGTTATCAGTTGACCCTGACATTAAACAAAAAGAGTTGATCGTTTACCAAAACTCATAATCAATAATTATGGGTATAGTAGACAAATACTGTTTTAAGCTTTTTGACAGAAATCTGTTACTGGAAACTGATGGAAACGCTAATTGATAACCAAAACTAGAATGTCGAGTTCACGCTTTCATAATTTCCCAACTCGAAATACGTCTACTAAGTGACAGAACATAAGGTTTTGACGAGAACTATGACGTTCATGGTTTCTCACAACTATGACGTAAATTGATTTGTAACAAATTGAATTCCTTTGCTTATCGACTTACAAAACACACCTGACAATTTTCACCTACGTCAGAGATAACCTGTTCTAGTGTTGAATTCTCGTGGGTTGTCTGTTAAACGTGTAAAATGAAACCCTATTGACCATGGTGTTAATTTTTTAGTACGGATTGCGTAACAGCAAGAGTACTGAGTAACCATATATGGTGAGGAATGAAGATACAAGAACAAAATTTAATAATGTCGTCATATAATTAATGATGATATCTGACGCGATTGTGACGTAAATTGCTGGGAGTTTCCTGGCTGCAGTTAATTAAACCAGATTGTAGCATAAAGTATAAAAACCCACCTCTCGCTTCAGTCTTGGAAAGATTTTTTCAAGTTGTGTCCTTTGTTATAAAAGCTTTGAAATATTTAGTTTGCTCATTTTCCCTTGTAAGTAATGATTTTTTGGCCTTGTGTCTGTCAAAGTCACAAATAATTTTACGGCTTCGCATACACCGGGCACCTTCTTTGTCTGCCTCTACGTGGCATAAATGTGAAACAAAATCATATTATTGAAGCTTTATTGCGACCCTTAAATAAAAATATACATTATATTTCATTTAATTGATTTGATTATCTTAGTCTTTGCGTCAGTCATTTTCAGTTTTCCAAATAAATTATTTCATACGGTCATGTCACGTGATCGAGACAACATTTTAAACCTGTGTCCTGTTTGGTGATACGGAGTCAGTGTTCAGAAATGCATGTTTTAAGTTGGTTTAATTATCGGGGGCCCTTGCACTTTTAGAAAAACCTTATAGCTCGACTGGAGATTGGCTTAGCCCTAAATGATATGATTGGATCCACTGAAACAAGTTATTACAAAGTGCTAGTTCTGGCTAAATCGCATTATGGCATTATTTTCTTCGGCTTCCTTGATCATCTTTTTTTTTGTGAAATTGAAAAAAGTTATTCTGGAATTTTATAATGTCCGTTAACGTAATATTCGGTAAAATCACACATGATAAGGGGTTGTCCTCTTTTTTCATCCGTATACTGTTAAATATGTAAAATAGGAGGTTTTCAGTAACCAATAATTTATTTTATGTAGTGGATAACATTTGCATCGTGCAATAGCTGACATGTCAGGACCCAGAGCTCAACTTATAACGGCCTGGTCAGAGAGAATAAAAATCCAGGTATGTCCAATTATAATCATATCGACAGAATAATGCATCGTTTTATTTTCATACCAGACATTTATTATATAGGTATAATAATTGTAGTTTTGAGTAAACATAGTTCAAACTTTGTGTCTAGTGTACTCATTGAGTCATTTGAGTCTTGAGTACTACTCAAAACTCACGCATAGCAGTTGATAATACAACATTCCATTTCCAATGTTAGAGAGTTACGGTATTCATTACGCATAATATTGGTACAAATAATGGGGAGCAGTGCAGCTGTATACACTGTCTAGTACAAACTCCAGTGGTTTTAGGCTGGGTGAGTTAACTCTCAACTATATAAATTTTCATTTTATTAGTTTTCGTTAATTTAAGGGACCATAGTTATAAAATATAAATCTTTGTATATATTTTGGTCTCGTAAAAATATATTAGAAGCTCCTCAATTTTCAGAATATGGACAGTAATATTGATTATTAATTGAATTATTACAACCTCTTTGTATAAATCAGTTAAGACTTTTTCGAAAAGGTGACATCGGCCGTTTAATTATAATTATTTTTCAGGGGAGTGAAAATGAAAACATACTTGAAAATTATGAAAAAGAATTTCCGCCACTTATCAAAGCTGAACTTGCACCTAAACCCCATAATCAGGTTTTTAATGACAAAATCACAATTATTTTATCATGTTGTTGCACGGTTAATTGGCTGTATTGTGGATAAATATTTTATTTCCGGAAAAAATATTTGAAGACGTTTTATAAATAGCATGTTTTACAGGAACTTTGGAGTCAAGTTGTCTCAAATCCAACACTCATTTATGGGTTGGCATCCTCTGAAGCTCCTGAAAATTGTTATGTCCAGAGGGTGAGTAAAACTGTTAATTCAATGATTACCCCATTTTATCGGATCCTTTTTTATTAAATTCAGGTTGCTGTAGACAAAAACACAAAATATATTAGTAATAGTGTCACTCTCGAGTTGATTTAGATTATAAGACAAAGCTTTTTTAAGTCGATGAAAATTACAGGAAAAGGATTACCTATGTGAAAATACGACAACCGGGGATGGAGTTCTTGTACTGAAACAGAAAAACATTAAATGTAAAACAACACAAGCTCAGAGATTCAAGAAGAAAGAAAGAAAACAAAAAGTTTGTAACTTAACTTTGATATAAAAAAAGCTTATCAAAGTGCGATTAGTTCCTTAAAATTAATAATAATTACAATCAGTTATTTTTTACTTTCTATACAATTACGAGAAACATTGGCAGGCTTATAAAGCTAAGGTGAGTAAAAACAAACATGGACAATGCAGAACAGAATCCCTATCATTTGGAATTAATTTACACAACGGATTCGAAAGACTAGGCCTAGGAGAAGAGCTGTGCAACAATTCAAAAAATGTAAGATTATAATTATTTGCATCCATAACTGTTTGTCTCTGACTTGTAATTAATTATCTGACATTTTCTTTTTATTTAGCTGTAAAATTGTGCAGCATAAATTCATTATAGGTCGCATAAAATTGACACTTTACCAATACCACATAATTATTTGTCCCGCAGAAGAAAATTGTTTCAAATATATGTTATATCAACATAATATTTACATTAATTATGATATTGTACAAAATTGCAGGAAGAATGTCATTCATACGAAAATAGGACAACAGGGGATGAAGCTGTCGCACCAAAAAAGAAACCCATTAGAAAAACAAGAGCTCAGCGAAACAAAAAGAAAGAAGAAAAACGAAAAGTTTGTAAAATTCATTTTTTGAAATATTGTGATGTTTTTGATTAAATCTTTTTATTGCGCATTCAATGCAGACTAATTGGCACTCCTTCCTAAAGAAATAAATTAGTATACGATGTGTAGCGATTAAATATATCAAAAGGTACTTAAACATCGATATTGTAACGAATTACATGAAGAACAATTTGCAGGCTAAGGCTTTACAGTTAGAGATACAATTACTAAAGCAGTTTGACGAAATAGAAATCATACAAAGATCGATATCTATCGAAGAAGAAGAAAAACATGAAAAAAGGACTGCAAAAAGAAGAAAGAAAGCAGCTAAAGTAAGTCTAGTCGTGAATTTAATTAAATCTCTTAATTATAATTATTTACATGACCAACTTCTTATATACGACAACTTGGTTCATTTTGAGGTTTCTTATACTTCATTCCCAGTGCGAAATCATCAAAGACATTAGTGGAGGAGGAACAGACAAACAATTCACAAAGAGTTTCAAAAGAAATTCGAAGAGAAAACGAATAGGAAGGAAATATAAAAAGCAAACTTCTGAGTCTTCCGTACACAGAAAAGGTAAGAAAATGTTATAAGGGTTGTGTTAATAAGTTGAGGTAATAATTACTTTTACAATGTATTGATTTTTTGAAAGAACAGCTTTCTGTCCGCAGGTCTTATTGATAATTTAGTATTATGATCCTCAATGTCTGGCATTAGAAGGCTTTCGTAACCTTCGAGACTGCTTCGACTTGTTTTATTTATTATTTTCAATCTACAGCTGCACTTTAAATATTATAGTTTAACGTGCATGATGCGATCATAAACGTCACAAAATATTCCACAATTTGTTAATTCTAATTCCCTTCTTTCACTTTGAAATGTTATTTTCATTGCACATTTTCGAAATACATGCCACTTCTAAACACAAAAATAATCAACACATTGGCCAAAAAGTACGCACTGTACGTATTTTTTAATAATTACGTACGCATATTGTTTGAGCTTAAATTATAATATCCGGTCAATTATTACATATTTCACAGTCTCAATATGAACGTAAATCCTCCATGTAACGATATTTAGCCTTAATCTAATATTTTGCGATTATAAGGTAAACAAACTCATTAAAAATAGATTAGATCAGGAGGGTGCTATCAATGACATTGCTATTTGAATTTTATAAGTTTCTGCGCGAATAGCTAGCCTCGCTGCACAGCTGTCGTATGTTAGGCCAAAATATCTTACTACATGTACGCGTCGGTACTTTATTATCTTAGATCCCGAGAATATGAATATATTTGAGACTCGCACCAAATCTTTTCACCAGCCTGTTTGTTATAATCGTAATAATAATAACGATTATATTTTTTATACAGTTCATGTGAAAATATTTTTGTACATTGTATTTCAGATTTGCCCGAAGAAGACAGTCTTGAAAGCAGCAGGAATTCTTCGTTCAAAGATAATCAGAGCGATGATCAGCCTTTCAAAAGGGAAAGTGAAAGAAATAGTTCGCCTTCAGATGATAGAATGAAAGAGGATGAAGAATACCTAATGAATGAGGAGCAATATGCTAAGGAAAGTGAAAGACGAAGTTTTCCTTCAGATGATGGAATAACAATGGATGAAGTATACCTAAAGAATGAGAAGCAAGATGCTAAGGAAAGTGAAATACAAAGTTCGCCTTCAGATGATGGAATGACAATGGATGAAGAATCCCTAATGGATGAAGAGCAAGATCCTAAGGAAAGTGAAAAATATCTACTAAGAAAAATGAAGCGTGCATTAAGAAACATTCGCTACCACTCTTCTCCCGGTGGCAGATCTGCGCTAAACAAAGCAAAAAGCAAGTACCACTCTTCTCCCGGCGGCAAATCTGTGCTAAACAAAGCAAAAAGCCAGTACCACTCTTCTCCCGGCGGCAGATCTGCACTAAACAAAGCACAAAGTAGGTACTACTCTTCTCCCGCCGGCAGATCTGCACTTCATAAAGCAGCTAAGAAATATAAATCAGTCCCACATGTGATCGATCGAAATAAGGAAGGACTCCGAATTTTTAGGCAAAAACCAGAAACCAGGCAAAAACGGAAGGATTATGAAGATTCGAAGAAAGAAAAACTGTCGCAGTCTAGAAGAACTCGGTATCGCCGAAGCAGATTGTTTGAAGAATTTGGGGACGATTTTGACGATGACATAGATTATTGCTTGAAAAGGAAGCAGGCCATGAAACAGATAAGGACGCACATGACCCGCAACAATAAAAAATTGCAATTCCTGTTACACAAGGAGAGGATCAAGGGATTCAGAAAAAGTGTCTTCCTCCCCAATCTTCCCTATGTTTCAAAAAGAGGAACTTTCAAATCAAAAACGTTCATGAGGTCAAAGAGCAGGCTGACATGGAAAAATGCCGTTATTCGATTGATGATGGAGCATTTGAATGATCAATTTACCAACAGCATCATTAAAAAATGGTACCCGTCTCTCAATTTTAAAGGAAAAACAAACCATTACAAAAAGAATTTTGTCGCATCACAGCTTCAGAGGAGAATTTTGAACAGCCGTGATCTGTGGATCAAAGTTTTATATGGCCGTTGTCATAAGCTGAACTTGACATCGGAGCAGCTTCTCAACAAAGAAAAGTTGGACACATCTGAGACTGACGAGAAGCGCCATGACAGCATCCTTGGCTATAAATGTCACAGAAAAGGTACGGAACCTTACTTTCCTATGTACAGCTTTCTCAGTGGGGAGCCATTCACATTTCGTTACAACAAGGCTTCAAAGAAGAGCAGAGAGGAAACGAGAAAAAGTGAACGATGTACTACCGACTGCATTCCTGCTGGGGGTTTTGCAGTAACTCGCTTCAAAGACTTCTTGGCAAGATGCAAAAATTTAGAAGTGAGAAATTCCAGAACCTTCGTTCAGGAGTCAAACAAGTGTGGCAATGTCAAAGCAAATGAAATCTACAGCTTGATAGTCGAGCAGCGTAATCACCCCGAAATCTGTTTAAGGAGGGAGGCGAAGAACAAGTGCTCAAGTGACTTAGTTCTGCTGAGACAATTGAGCGTCCACTCCAAAAATGCTCGATCTATCTATAAGACTGTCAATGAAATGAAAACAGCCGACCAATTTGTGTCAGACTTGGATACGGCAACTGCAACAGGGGATATCGAGTATTTGATTAAACTGCTGCAATACGAACCCCTGATTGCAGAAAAAACATTCAAGGTTGAGAGACCGGAACAAATCATTAATGAGCAGTTTATGGAAGAAAACTTTCCTAAACAGTATTTAGAATTCCTGACTGCAGTCAACGCCAACCATACAGTGCCTTGCATTTCTTGTCGAAGGCTGACTGAGGATGATCCTAAGAAATGCAAAACCATAACATCTCGATGGAAGAAGGTGAACATCGTCAACTCAGAATACATGCTTCTTCTCCACTATCTGCAGTCAGATGAATGGCTTAAAATGGGAGGTGTTTATGTTGACACGTTGGTGGGCAAAAGAATTTGCAACTACTGTCACACTAAAATGGACAAAGGGGAAGTTCCACGGATATCAGTGAGGAACGGGATGAACGAAGGGATCGTTCCCATGGAAATAGCTGATTTGTCCCAGTTTGAGTGTATGTTCATTCGACAAATTTCAATGTTCCAAACGTTTTTGAAGCTGGGACCAAGTGTTGGAAATCGGCCGAACAATGAAAAAATGGCGGCAGTCAAAGGATTTAGTGTCCACATCCCGGTCCCAATACAGGCGAACGTTGAGCAATTAGCGGGAGGAGTGCCTCATGGACTGTTGAATCCAAAGAATTTTATTGTCCTTCATGGTCTGCCAAACAAAAACAGGAAGGTTTGGCAATCTTTGATTAATGTGGAGAAAGTCATTAAGGCAATAAAATGGCTCGTGAAGAACAACCCTCTTTATGAAAAAATAAACGTTCCAACAAAGGGTGAGATTCTTGACATGATGTGTGAGGTTGATAGTGATATTGAAGATGGAGAGGGAGCGATTCCAAGAGACTTCTTTGATAGCTTTGATTGCTCTGACAATAAGAAAGCTCAAGATCCCTCCGATTCATCCTCTGCTACTTCTAGCGCTGGTTCGAGTATCAAACCGTCTACTAAGAGAGCTTGCCATAAGAACAGTTACACGTCTGAAGACATGGACATGTCATTGCCTGAAATGCTACCTGCGGAAAAGAAAGAAGATGTTGCCGATATAAATGACGAATATCTTGACAATTTATGTGAAATGGAAAGCGGCAGCAACGATGATAATTCAAGCAATAGCTCCATATTTTCACTTCGTAGTACATTGAAAAAATCAGCTAAATTACCCAATGACTCAACAGACATGGAAAGTGATATCAGTGTTGATGAGGAACCACGCCAATCATGTGACAGTGAAATTAGTTTCAACGAGAATGAGACCATAGATAAGGGCGGTAATTGTCATATAAAACCGTTCAAGAGCGTGACCAGTGTCGACTTTAAAGACATGGAATTGAGTCTTGACGAAGAAGATCCCTCCTATAAGAGTTTATGGAAGTTTTCTGCAACAGTCAGCAATGAAGAAATGGCCCGGATAAAAAATATCTCTAGTAGTAACAGCAGGAGGAAGTTGATTGCGCTAAAATGTGTGGTGCATATGGCTAGGATGCTAAACAGCAATGGTTCCCTCTGCGTTCGTTGCCATCAAGATGTCAAAAATTACAGAGATAGAGTCATTAATCTGTTGCGATTGGGAAAGAACACACTAGGCTACCAGCTGCTTCACATCCAAGCGATCCTAACGTCGTTTGCAAAGATGAGATCAGCATTGCTTGCAGAAGATGACTCGATCAAAACCAACAAGTGCTCCTTCTGTGTCCTAAATAAAGTCTCTGAAAATCCCCTCAAGAAGAAAGCTAGGCGTAACACAAAAGGCAGCGTAAAAGCAGTTTCGAATAGCCATCAATTGAGAGCAAGCTGGGGAGCCAAATTTTTTTATAGCACAAAAGTAAAAACCTTGTCCCTGTTAGATTCTATGAAAGAGGAAAGGCAGTTATGTGACGGATGCTACGAGGACGTTGAGAAAAAGTCAAGCAAAGGCATATCACACTTTACGAAACCCTCACGATCTCTAACACTCAAAATACAAAAAAGGTCTACAGCTTTGTATGACTCGTACTGTGAAGTACAGGGGCTATATGCAAATGCTAATGATAATGAGTCACGTAGAGATGGTATGTGCATAAAGTGTGATCACCATATTTCCCTCTGCCAGGATATCCTCGATAAGAGGTTCGAGGATTTGGAATTACCTGCAGAGGAAATGAAATGTTCTGAGGTTATCGGCTTGAAAGATAAGGAAGAAACTAGGCTTCTCACGGAGAACTTCCCTGAAAATATTTCTGCTAAAGAAAGGTCCACTTTAAGATCCAAAAACAAGTTCTATAGCGACCATATTCTTCGCCATATTGGCATCGCTTTAGTCAAGTCCATCCATTGTCAACATTGCAAGAAACATCTCAAAGCAACTATAGCAGCCTTTAAAAGACTCGCGAAGTACAAAAAGCCGTCACCTAAGAATCAACCCGTAAATCTTGAAGACTGTGATCCCAGTGTATTCCAAAGTTTAGACGTTTTCTACTCTGAGCGATTGGCAAACTCACTTTTACATGGGTGCTGCTTCAAGTGCGAGAAATCACTCGACTTAATTGGAGGCGGGACAGAAAGTAGTGATGATTTCTCTGATATGACATCAGCTTCAGGTTCATCTGCCAAGATTTCTTCAGCAGCAGAGGAGTATTCAAGTCCAAATATTTTCTTCGAGGACGTGAAATCAGATGATGGAGATAAAAAGGGGTCTAAGAAAATGATGGAAGAGATGACTGAGGAAGACTACAAGAACTTAATCGAAGAATTCACTGTCACTGGTATGGATATCCTCGACGATAATCCTGAGTTAATGGATGATCTATACAGGTTGTTGAGATTAGATGATGATCCTGTAGATCTGACAGACACAAAGCTGGACCTGCTGGCTTTTCCTGAGATCTTCAGCTGGGGTGTTGGTGGAAGGAAGGGTTTTAGAGGCGAAGAAGCGAAGCCCTTGCAATACGAAAAGTGTAGACTGATGTCCAGCAATGGGCCAACTCGAAGAAATGTACAGCATTTGTTTCACTTAGCAGGGGAGAATGAGCGTAGAAAAATCCGTTCTAGCATCTTCGCCACGCTAAAAAATGTACAAGGCATGGGACACCTAGATGCAGCGACTTTGCTCAACAAAATCAAAATGAAAGATCCAGCATTATTGAAAAGAATAAACAAAGTATTGAGGTTGGTTCCGAACACACAAGCTTATTGGGAAAGTGCCCGCGCAAAACTTAAAGCGCAAATTGAAAAGTTTGGTCCCCCAACCTTTTTCGCCACATTTAGCCCCAATGAGTACGACTGGGAGGACCTAATTCAACATTTAAAAGATGTCAACAGTGACATACCTAATATAGATGACCTGTCTCCTTCTGCTTTGCTGAATAAGGACCCTGTATTGACATCAACTTACATCCACAAAAAGTTTGATGCTCTTTTAAAGTTTATAATTGATGCAGAACCTTTGGGGAAAGTCAAGTCATACTTTGTGAGACATGAATATCAATCTCGAGGTACTATTCACTTTCACACATTTATTTGGATTGATAAAAGTCCCCTGATCGGCAAAAGTTCTGATGCAGAGGTTGCAAGCTTCATCCAAAAACACATCACTTGCAAACTCCCTGATCCAGTGAATGAAGCAACATTGTTTGATGTAGTGGGTAGCTACCAAAATCATTCGTGTAGACCGTATTGCTTAAGAACATTTAAAAAGACCAAAAATCCTTCAAAGGCCAACAAAACTAGTTCAAAAACGCAAGTCGCCTGTAGATTTGGGTTCCCAAGACCAAAATCACAGAAATTCATCCTTCATGATGTTCTCTCGAGTGTGATTGGAAGAAAAACAAAGCAGATGAAGCAACGATTGTATGATTTGCCAAGAAGTGAAGAAGAAAGAAGGATAAATGACTATAACCCAATATTATCCTTCCTCTGGAAAGGTAATATGGACATTCAATTCCTTGCGGAAGACAGTCACTCGATCACGCAGTATGTTACCAAATACATAACTAAGGGAGAAACGAGTGTTGTAGACATTGATGAAGCAGACTTGAAAGATCTGTCCAAAACATCGTATCAGAATCTTTCCAAGTTTGCGTTCCAGCTTCTCAAATCTCGTGAGATGGGGGCACATGAAGCAGCTGACAGGATCCTTCAAAACAGTGGCGAACTATGGAGATCCTCAGAGACTTTTGTGTGGCTCCCATCCACCACTCCAGATCGTAGGACTAGGGTTATGAGGAACCTTAGTGACTTACAGAATCAGAAGCCTGACAGCACTAATCTATTCTTTGACGATTGGGTACACGTTTTTTATCCCAATAGGCCTCGAACAAAGGATTTTGAAAGCATGACGCTCTACGACTTTGTCTCTAAGTACGAAAAAGCGATAGGGAAACCTGAAAAATTTGAAAAGAAAGACGAGGACAAGTATATCAAGATCAAAAGTGAAGATGGAAAATATATACGAACTCTTCAACGGAGAAAGAAAGAACCCGTTATATACCATCACAACTATTCCTTAAATACTGACCCTGAGCTGTTTTATTACAGCATGTTATCTCTTTATAAGCCTTGGCGAGATGAAGCGGACATCGCAAGCTCTCACGACAAATACAGCGATGCGTATTTTGATGCCGTCGAGGACTTTACACAGCTCAAGGAAATGTCGAGCAAGAAGATCAATATTGAAAAGGCTAAAGAGAAGATGGAAAAGGAAGCAGAAGCAAAAATGGCAGCATCTGGTACAGCTACTCCTTCACAGGCTGAGGATGACATCGATCTCGGAAATCAAGGTCTTAGATCCGGCCTACGAGATTTTGAGATAGTCAACGATAGAAGCGAAATAAAGTCTCATGGGGAACTTGAATCGTTCGTCAAAACATTGAACGAAGATCAAAAAAGAGTGTACGTCAAAGTCACCAAACATATTGAGCATATGGTTCGACACAGGGACAAAGAATGCACGGGTAAGGAGTGCAGTCGACCTCTCAATTTATATGTAAGTGGGTTTGGCGGAACAGGAAAATCTTATTTGATAAAAGCTCTTCAAGGGTATCTTTGGGTGCAAAAAAACCTCTTCGATGAATCAACTGATATTGCGTTGACTGCACCAACGGGGCTTGCTGCAGCAAATGTGGGAGGACAAACGCTCATAGTCTTTTTAGTTTGCCAGTTGAGCATGGTGAAAAACTGCCCAAGTATACCGCACTCAAGAAGAATTCGATGCAGCAAACAAGGACTGTACTCAAAGACTTAGCATTGCTTGTTATCGATGAGATTAGCATGGTGTCGGCAGAGATGTTGATGTCAATAAACTTAAGATTGCAAGAGATCTTCGGTGCTGATGATTTGTTCGGCGGAAAAACCGTTGTTGTCTTTGGAGATCTTCTACAGTTGCCGCCTGTTCATGGCAAACGGCCATTTCAGGATTTGTCTGGGGATGATGTCCATAAGTTAACTGGAGGCCTTAGAATCCCGAGTCACCTTTGGGAGAACTTTGAGTTTGATGAACTCACTATAAATCAACGGCAACATGGAGATGCTAACGAAAAATGGAGTGGTATGCTTGGCAGGATTCGTATTGGCCGTCAGAGTCTAGAAGACATTAACATTCTGCAAGAGCGGCTTATCCCAGTCAGACCATGCGAACTGCCTAGCCAACACTTGGATCAAATCGTTGATTACTACCTCAGTTTACAGAAACAGTTCCCTACTACTGTCTGTCTATTACCCAAACGAAACATGATGGAATCTTTTAACGCCACAGTCATGAAAAAACTCTTTCCTGATACAATTAAAGTTGAAGCAGACGATGAAGTCGACGGCAGAACTAAAAATGACAAAAAACGGGCATTAGATGCAGTTCTGAAGATTGATAAATTGGGTGATTCTCGAAATACAGCCGACCTTGAAAAGTGCCTCATTTTGAGCGAGGGTGTCCGAATAATGCTCAGAAAAAACATTGATACCGCGAAAGGGCTCGTGAATGGTGCTATGGGAATAGTCAAACAAATCGTGCGGCAGTCCGACGACCCAAACTCAATCGTTGAGAAACTTTTAGTGCAATTTGACGGAGTCGACGGCGATGTTGCAATAACGAGGGATACTCGCAAAGTGAAGTTGTTCGAAGAGTCATACCTCCATCGTCGACAGTTTCCTATCAGCACCGGGTACGCCCTCACCATCCACAAAGCGCAGGGCATGTCTCTGAGTCACGTGTTTTGCGATTTAGGCACTATGATCTTTGCAACTGGTCAGATTTATGTCGCTTTAAGCAGGTGCAAGACTCTTGAGGGACTTTATTTGGTAAACATAGATGAGTCCCGGATTAAAGTTGACCATCTAGCTATCAATGAATATGTCCGACTAAAGAGTAAGCCAATTATAGCAGCAGGTATAAATTTCATGACTGATGGTCAGCCAGATTCGAGCAAAAAAGGCAAGAAAAGAAAGCCGAAGAAAAAGACGGAACGCATCTGGTACGAAACTGACGCAGCAAAAAAAGCAAAGGCGACCTTCGACGATATTTTGAAGAATCACACAGATGACCAGACAAAAGCTCCTAAGAAAAAGCAGTCCACCAAATCAAAGAAAAAGAAGCCAACTGCTGAGAGGAACTCCAATTTATCTGCAGCTAACATCAGCACACACATAAATCAAATTCACGCTGGAATTCCTGACGAATTTATTCCAACTGCTGATATTGTGAGCGGCTCAGAAATGATGGAGGTATACAGGAGAGCTCTGGTACCCTGTTTTAGAGCCAACTCCCCAAACAGCTTCATTTTGAGATCTGCTTTAGAGTTGGACCCCGACCCATTCAACTGTAGACAGACTCGTGATCTCTGGTTGACCGGGTCTACCATTGCAAAGTATATTGCGGTGATCAAAGATGGTTTGGCTGAGGACGCGGGTCCAACTCTGTACAGTATGGGACCTTACTGTGGTGCTTATCGGAGTGTGCGTGGGCGTCGCCGTCAATCTGGATTGCTTGAAGATTTCATAAGGAACACATTTGCCGAAAGGCCGTTCACTCGACTTAGGTATAGTAAATTTGACGTTTTTGTCTATTAATTCTTTGACACTTTTGTCCATTTATTTCGTAATTATAGCAACGACTGTTCTTGTGTTGGTAAATTGACTGATAAAAAGTGTAAGGTATGCAAAAATCGAATGCAATTCCTAAACCTATATATTTCAGACAGTTCAAAGTTCTCCCCTTCACTCCTAGGGATCACTTAATACAATACGGAGATCCGATGACGTATGATATAATTGCTATGGTCGGCAACCCTGGTAATCATTGGTATACGGTCATCATCGACAACAGAAATCGACAGGTATGCTTTATTCAAAATATTATATAAAATCAATTTAAACTGAGAAGCTTTTGCGATTGGTCTTATCAGGCACGTAGCCAGGGGGGGGGGATTGAACCCCAGAAAAAATAAGCCCCCTAGTACCCATGGTCGCCTGGTAACTGGGCTGTGTTTATGACTGCAGTCTGCTTTTTAAAAATATACAAAATCAATTTAAACTGAGAAGATCTTACGATTAGTATGACAGCAATCTTAAAATATCTCAGCGTTTATCGGTATTAATCGTGTTTCTTGTACAGGTTCTGCACTTTGACTCCCAAAATTGCTCAACCGTAACCATGAAAGATCGTTGCCACTCACATTTAAGGCTACTTAAAGACTTCCGACAATACCAGAGGTGAGTTTAACGTTTAACACAAATGAAATATAAGTCAAAGTGTTATATTTGCTAGTCACAATTTATTGTTACTGTTAGAATGGGCATTGCTTTGTTCACACTGATAGTCTAAAATCGCACATTATTTTCAGAGACAAGCTACCTATTGTTGTCAATGGAGATTTGAATACTGATGACTATACATTTGTTGATGGTCAATCCAGTATTCAAAGAAATGGTTATGACTGTGGCGTCTTCTCTCTGATGAACATCGAAAAATATATAACTGCCAGACCATTCAATCATCCTATAGTACAACCTTTGATGAAACTATTTAGACTTAGAATATTAGCAAAACTTTATCACCAAAGTGTCATATCAGGATTAGGGGGTTAAATGTTCTCAGAAGATGGAATCATTTTTTCACCTTATCTGCCTTTAATGATATCATGTAAGATGGGCTGCTTGTGATAGCGTAATGCCTCTCTCGGCTCGCAGTCTGTCAATTATTCTTATTGTGGAAAGTTTCTGGCAACTAAAAATGTTGTAATTTGTGTCGGAGCAAATTGATATCAATTTACGATTTTGATGCTATATCTGCCTTTAATGATATCATGTAAGATGGGCTGCTTGTGATAGCGTAATGCCTCTCTCGGCTCGCAGTCTGTCATTTATTCTTATTATGGAAAGTTTCTGGCAACTAAAAATGTTTTAATTTGTTTCGGAGCAAATTGATATCAATTTACGATTTTGATGTATTATAATTCTTCGTGCAATTTGTTGTTATTTACTGTTATTATGTAATATTATGTTGATGTTTGTTTTGATTTATTTGTTTATATTTGTGATGTTTTAAATTATTTCTTGTTGTTGAATTTTGCATAAGTAATATTTCTTGGTGTTCAGTAATCTTTTAGAATGTTTTGTGATTATTATTTCGTATTTAAATTTGTTTATAACGTTACAGAAGGTATTTATTTAATGTAGTTCGAGGAGCCCTAACTCGCAGCCTACGATGGCGCCTCTTTGTGTTTCACTCAGATCACGGCCTGCTATATTGTTAATTGTAGTTATTCCTTTTATAATGATTTACTGTTTATTACTTCTTGTTATTCATATTGTTTTTTACTACGAATAGTGATTTATGAATATCAAAAATATACATGTGTATTCATGAGTCGCTTTAAGTTTAAGACCAAAAAAGGCTGATATTTAACCAAAACCCAATAAATTGGGTAGGATGGACCGTCGCCTCAAGTCAGTTATTGAAATTATAATGCTACTTATCAGCTGCGTTACACAAAGCTGCGCAATAAAAGTATAATAAAACGAGTCAAAGATGTGATATAAAAAAGTGACCGTTCTTGTCCCGTAACAGCGCGGTCGCTTGCTTTGACCGTCATGTCACCAAATCACGAAATTTAGACTTTCGAATCTTCTTTAGCATTAAATACAAAAACACGTATTTGTTATTTACAACAACGTCAAGTTTGAACTATAAACTACCACTTTGTCTTTATTACGTGGCCGTCCCTATACTTTAAGTTTATTAATTTCCGCAAACTACACGTTTATTGATTTCCACAAACAACAAATGAGTTATAATTAAACTGCGTACGCCGTGCAACTACATGCATGGAAGCTTTATCTGCTTTGATCAGTTTATACGCTCATGAGGCTCAGAGTGCAATTACGAATAAAAATCAAAACGATGACAGTTATGAGTTATGTCTTTTGAAACAAAATATTTAATGGACAAGTTTTGCTTGAATTTGAAATAAATGAATGGCAGTGTAAAACATAAATTGAAAGTGAAACTCACGTCTTGCAGTCTTTACTTACTAATACTGATGGTAATAGTAAACAAAATTCTTACTTATTTCCGGCGGTATATATTTAGAGTTTAAGTTTCGTAATACTAATTACTATCATTATACACTTAAAGTTAATCGTATTTTATCTGCATAATACAAATTAAAATTATTCTGGTTTAGTTTTACTTTCAGCGCTACTTTTATTAGAACAATTAAATCACTACAATTCTGTTGCATTTATCAAGGAATGAATATTGAATACAATTTAGTTATATGTTATGTTTGTAATGAATTTCCAGCTGTCTTGCTTGTTATCGGCCATCGCGTTCAAAATTTATTTACGTCTGTTTTTTACATAAAATATGCATGTTCATGATATGTGATACAGCCTTCATTATTTTCTGGCATTGTTACCGACTATGTGATTGTTCTGGATAAAAATATCGTAAACTTTAATTTGCCTACTTAATTTAAATGACGACCCAGTTCTAAGTTTCAACTGTAATATCAATATTTAAACTTAATCTAAATTAACAATGTTGATGAGTGATTTGGTGACATGACGGTCAAAGCAAGCGACCGCGCTGTTACGGGACAAGAACGGTCACTTTTTTATATCACATCTTTGACTCGTTTTATTATACTTTTATTGCGCAGCTTTGTGTAACGCAGCTGATAAGTAGCATTATAATTTCAATAACTGACCTAAGGCGACGGTCCATCCTACCCAATTTATTGGGTTTTGGTTAAATAATGGTTCAGACAAAAGGACAATTAAACTGGTGTTTTATTTTTAACGGGTGATACTCTTAAAATATTTGTTCCAAATATTACCTTCGACGAGTTTAGCTCGGCGCACGTCCTGGTAGGCTATATTTTATAAACCTACAATTTTGTTTAGTTTGTCTACCGCGTAACTATACTTGAACCCTTTAAGTAATAAGTTGAACTACAGGATCGAGATGTTGATTGTATCGATAAAACATGGATTTTTAGGCATAAGGAAGCATTGTTGAGTTCTGAAACCAAGTTTAATCGATTTCTCGTGCGATTTTAGGTCAGGAATGGTCATCAAAATAAATTTAAAACAATGACGATATTTTGGTAAATTTCTAGCTTTCTGCCAGAAAATAAATTTTCGGTTTCTATAGGGGTTTAATTAGGTATAATCTACAGTACAGCTATACTTACACCCACATTCACATGCATGCAAGCTCACCTGGTCCAATGAGCGGGAAACGGAGAGGAAGGTCTGGTGACGTCATAGTCACGTGACCTCAGGCTCATAATCACGTGACCTCAGACCCAATCAATTGGGTTCTGGCCTGGTCAGCCCCCTGTCACCCGATCTTGAGGTGACGTACGACACCTCGTTAACTCAATCAATGTCTGGAAGGCTGCAAATTTTCACATGCCAAATCCCTAAGATTCTTAAAGAGTTGTACGAGATGACGATACATAGAGGCCGCAGAATTATGAGGACTACCAGATCCTGGTGGAACCTAAGCGATCCATGATATCACGACAGGCCCTAGAGAGTACAGCTATGATTTACAGAATTGACATGTGAACTCTACCCCAGATCTAGCCCATTTCTGTGTCAATTATATTCAATCCATGAATTATCCATGAATTATAGCTCATGAACTATGTTGTTGAGTGCCATAATTTCGTTCACTTTTTCCGCCAAGTGACCCTTGAAAACATTTTTTTATTAAATACTTTTCAAATTTTACAGAGTACAGCAATAGATGAATATAGAATAGAATCGTTCAAAATATCGCCCCCATCTGTAAAATATGATGGGCACCCAAACACGGTAAACACATAGTGAACTATGTCCGCAGTAACTTGGACCCATTACATCGAATTAATCTAAATCCAAAAATTTATGAAAAACTATTTAATAACAAACAAATCCATGGTGAATAACTGTGGATATAGTGTCAAAATTGGTATTTCATACGTCAAATTCCAGATACATTAGATACAGGTCTGATATGGTCATTAATGTGTGAGAAGGTGTGCGGGTGAAGTGTGATATGATGTTGAAAGTATAGGAAGGTAGATAAAAAAACTTAATAAAACAAAAATAATAATAATATGGGGAGCAAAGAGACTAGGCTAGACTGTTGTTTCACTATCTAATAAACATTTCCATAGATGCTTAGTGACCTCAGCTTTGAAAAGACTAGTAGACACAATCTGTCTTACCTGTAAAGGGAGTCCATTCCACAGTATATGTGTTCTGTAGAAAAATGATTTTGCCAGTGGGCTATTTGAGGTACATATGGTGTGTGAATTCTGACTTAACTTAGGTAAAATTGATGACACAATAGACAGACTGTCGAGGTGGCAACGTCTTAGTCGAGAAGTGCCCTGATATAAAGAGAGATAGTGAGGCAGCGATACAGGAATTAAATTGTTCAGAACTCATCATATAAGCATATACTAGTAGAGTTTTCTGTGCCTCCGGCAGACCAAGGAGAACCTTTCCGTCGTTAACTTACTGCACAATAAAGTTATCTTAGTTGTCATATTCTGGACAAAAAGTTCGAAATGGAAAAATGTTTGAAAAAATTTCAACGGACTTAAACTTGGACGGACATTAATTGAACGGACTTTATTTGAACGGACATTAAGATGAACGCTAGGGCCTCCAGCGTTCAAGTAATGTCCGTCCAAATAAGGTCCGATAAGGTATATTAAAATGTAGGTTTTCCCGTTTTTGACCCGGGGATATACTTTAATATGGTTGCCCCCCCCTCCCAATCCTTTTCCTTTTTAAACAAGTCACACATGATATTCACGAATCATGCAAAAGACAGGCCATATTTAAATAAGCCTGATAACAAATAGAAACACTTTTATACACATTAATTTATTATAAGTTACAACAATCAAATTTAAATTAACAATAATTGTGAAAATTTTGCTGTCAGCAGTTGTATAAACCATAGTAATCGGGAAAAGAAGTTCAATTTTAAATTTAAACAGGGCTTGTATAATTATAACAGAACAGTGACACTGACTGATCTGTCCCACAGACAGAACTGGTACAAGAACACGTGATGACACGGACACGTGGCATCAGCACGCTCGAACAAGTGATAAGTGCAACAGGCAATATGAAATTCAACGGACCTACTTATCCTAGAAATAAATCAGAGTACTCGAACGTAAAAATTATTCGATTAGAAAATATGAATAACCCCTGTGAACATCAAGACTCAAGAGAGATTGATGCGTACTAAAGTTCAGAACTTAAAAATCCATGCCAAATAAAATTTTCTCACTGATTACAGCCTAAATCAACCATAATTTTCTGCGATAGTCTTATACAAACGTTAGATTTTGTCGATCTAACAGCCAAAATTTTACAATCATGGCAAAAGACCGATCAAATAAATCTTCAAATTCAAATTCACTGGTGTTTAATACGTGGACCAAGCTACGTAACCTTCGTTATAAACACAACACATTCTACATCTTACCATTTCAATCGGAATGCTATTCTACGCAAGCGAAGTTATATTAGTAATATAGACAGGCACCAAAACTTCTCTAAAAATGTTCAAACTTGAATTATTCAAAGAGCACATGTATTACTTGAAATTATTCAGCCTCCTCGCCGGGGAAAATGTCCCGGGAATTCAGATAATCTCAAACCATAAAACTCATTTCATGAATCCTTTATAAAATACATAATAATGTTATTATTCACCCACACATTGACATTCCAATAGATAGTTTATAGTGCCGACCACAAAAAACTTGAGTGAGGTAAATTGGTACAAATAATACAGAAATTTGACGAAATTTATCCCCTTTATATTGGAAATGTTATTGATTCTCTACAGTTTAAAAAATCAAAAGCTAAATTTCGCCAAAAAACTGATTTACTGAAACCGCTCACAGATCCACATACGGACTTTTATTACAAAATAAAAAACATATCATATATAAATAGTTATAGTGCATTAAAATAAGTTTATCTGATCTAGCACGGTGTAAATAGAAAAAAGGAAAAACGAAATAGCATCCCCACATAATTTTTATTATATAAATACTTCGTTTTAAATGATTTTTACAAATTGACTTTTATCTAAGAATTTTTGGATTGTACTGCTTGTAAGCGTACTTCTTTTGTCTTCATCGAATAAAATCGGAACATAATCACTTTCTAATTTCTAATTTACTTGAAACAGTTGCCATCCTTCACTCCTTTTTTAGAGATGTTAACCTAGTTGTTTCTACCTTATAATATAAGTTCATGTAAAATCCGGATTGGAGTATTATTTATGAGTCGCATTGTTGTAATATAAAGTAGAGCTAAAAATAAATCCCACGCTGAGACAAGAAAAGGACCAAATTTTAATATCAGGATACAATCAGATGACGTTTTGAAGGAAAATAGGACATATTCCCAAGTTTGAGTTTACAGTAAGATCTTTTGGAAAGGCTCTGAGGAAAGCGGAGAAGGCCTGGATAACTTTACATTTTTTTGAAATGTCTGGCTGTTGCTCTAGATGAACGGGCTAATTCGAAATTTCACTACATTTAACTAATTGGTGGAAGAATTAAGGCTGGCTAGCTGGATTCTCTAGAAAATAATTCCCTGTGTTTCATTTTAAGAACGGATCCATATCAAATAACCTATCAATTTCATCGCTACTAAAGTTAGTGTCCAAAATAGCGTTATCTAGTTCGTTCTGCTTGCTGCTGTCCAGCTTAGGAGAACTGCTTGTCTTAATCGCCACCTCGTTTAAAGTTGGCTGAGTTAGCGTCGGCTCGGGTTGTGACGTCATCATCATACCCTGTGACGTCATCATACCCTGTGACGTCATCACACCCTGCTGCGAGGACAAGGGGTTGCCTTGGGACGCCATGTGGTGCGCTGAGGACATCATATTGATCTGGTGGGGGTGGGAGAGTTGCTGCTGTTGCTGCTGCTGTTGCTGCTGCTGCTGCTGTTGCTGTTGCTGCTGTTGGGGCTGAGAGGGAACCAAGTGGGGTGGTTGACCAGGATGCTGTTGGTACATGGCGTACTGTTGCTGTCCAGGCTGCTGCCCTGACTGCGCCATTATATAGCGCCCACCTCCTGGCGGTGCACATACCTGAACAATACGGCTGTCAACCAATGCTTGAATTTGAGAAATAAACATATGTTTCATTATAGAACTATATAACTACGAGTTACCAGAGAAAAGGCGAAATCTGTCAACGAAAGTTAATAAAGTTTGCTTCATTTGCACTTACCACATTACGAGAGTTTGGCATGTTGCCAGGGTACTGCATTGGTTCTCCTTTCGTTGGCACACCTTCAGTCTTTGCTTCTGTTAGAAATACATTTCATTACAAACTAGGAATTTAAAATCCTTTACTATACACTACAACGTTGTACTGGACCCATTTATTCAAAATGTTGGTGGTATAACTTGTACTTCGTTCCATTGAACAAGTGGTATAACTTGCAGTAATGGGTACCGGTTAACAGATAACATTCTTTGATGATATGAAAACATCCTTGTATTCTAGATATTATCAGGTGATAACATCTAATGCATACTAGAAAAGTCTCCTCATCAATATTATAATACGAAAGAAAAGAAGAAAGTATTCTTACTCTGTTGATACATGTGTTGGATGGCCATCTGTTGTTGATAATAGTGTTGCTGTTGCTGCTGGAGAGCGTGTTGCTGTTGTGGGGTCATGGCTTGCTGTCTGGCCCACATGGAATGTTGAGCTGCCATCTGCTGTTGCTGAGGGAAAGAGGGTGTGTTAGAGATAAGAGGGTGTGTTAGAGATAAGAGGGTGGTTGTAGAAGGATTGAAGTATTTATTTTAGTAACGCAACCTTCTCTGAAATCAGGGTTGAAGCACCGATCGTAAGTAAAGCAGAGCGACCGCGCGTACATACTATAGAGACGGAAGGTATCCCGATTAACTAATTAGCAATTAGTAATTAGTAATTAGTAATTACTAACATGATGCTCGGGGTTGCCGGAAGCAGCAGCTGCAGCCTGGTGCTGCCTCATTTGTTGGTAGTACATCTGCAGTTGCTGTTGTTGTTGCTGCTGTTGCGCCTGATAGCAAGTTGGGTTAATAAGGCAGCTTGATAATAAGATAATAAACAGAAAACGAGACTATAAGATGAATTAAAAAAAGGAAGAGCCGCCCTGACAAATATAATGTTTGGACAGGCCACAATTAAGATTTAAACAAAAAAGATAATAATAGAGATCTATACTCAAGATATCGTTTGTAAACCTTCATTTTTACCTGCTGCTGCATTATGTAGTAGTTCCTCTGGTTAAAGTTTGGCTGCTGCATGGCGAACTGTTGTTGTTGAGCCTCAGTGTAATGCCCAGGCATGTTCATGCCAGGGTACTGTCCTTGCTGAGATTGAGGTTGTAAGATACATTATTTCTGTTTAGAATTACTTATAATTACAATTTTACAGCAAGGAAATTCAGGCTTTTTCAATTACAACCAACTACACCATATCTGTTGTGTAGTTGGTTGTTTATCACCTGATTTGTTGTATTGTGTCACGTGTAACAAACCTGGCCTTGTTGCTGTTGCTGTTGGGCTGCGTGCTGTTGCTGTTCCAATGTCGCTCTGTTCATGTTTTGTTGCTGCTGGGTCCGGTGGAACTCTTCCAACTTCTGACGCTGCTTCTCAGACTGACCCTGCGCAAAACATGATGTTACAGATCGGATACTCCTTCCAGAATTCAACATAAATTAGCCTCTTAGTATCTCTACTAGATCGTAAGTCTATAGAGCAGGTGTTTAGTACGTACACATAGCTTGTCCTAAGTATTCAACATTCCTCACAGTGGCAAAGATTAAAACATAATAAACCCACCTGTCGAGCCTGCTCCTTGAGTTTCTTGTTGAGGAGCAGCTTACTGTTAGCTAACTTATCGTGGTCATCCACCACTGGTCGTACGGCAGGGAAGTTTGGAATGTTTGGAATGTTGCCAGGGGCTAGAGCTCCATTTCCTGAGAAGTCGGGTGTCATGGCAACTAGAGGGGTGTCATGAGTCTCATCTCTAAGATTTGTGGATGCACTTTCTGGCGTAAATAGCTCAAATAGCGTAAATAGCTCAAATCCAGTAGTTGTGACACTGTTCTACAGATAAACCGTGCTGATAACTGATGAAGTTACTGATGAACTAACTGATAAAGTAACAACGAATTACAAGTTACAGTACTAACCAGGAGGCTGATTGTAGCCAGGAGTAACAGTGACATTAGGAACTTGAGCCCGGTTGAGTATACCCCCGGATACACCCCCTGGTATACCCCCTGGTATAGCTCCAGTTATACCAGAGTCAGTGCACTGGGTACTCATCTTAGTTCCTGTGGAGCAGAGAGTTGGTTTAGTGAAATTGGTAAATAAACTGGTAACTGGTAAATGGTAACTGGTAAATAAGCTCCTTTACAAACGACAAGAGATTTGATATTGATTCATTTGTTACCAAACGACATTTTTTAATGAAAAATATGTTTAAAAGCACTTCGGTCAACTTTTAATCAATATTATTTCTTGAAACTGACCAGCTTGAGCTATCTGCAGATGAGGAGATCTGGGCTGAATCGTGTACCCCTTGTTCGTCGTCATAGCAACCGTCATGTGATAGGAAGTGGAAGGAGCGATGTTAGGGGGAAGATGTTGCGCGGCGGTTGTCTGAGAATCCAGGTTACCAGGCAACATTCCATTGCTTTGTGTGTAGGGGGGCGGCGCCTGGAAAAAAGGTTATTTGTTATTTTGATAGAAGATGGATCAACTGATTTGCGATCTCATAGTTTGGCAAGAGTAGTTTAGTTGAAACACCAAAGTGGTAGTTTGAACCAACTTTAGACTGAAATCGAATTTAAACTTAATTCAAACCTGAGAAACCAGAGGGGGGTTCTGCGAGATCTGAGTTTTGGGCGACGATCGAGCTGCAGAAATCTGAACATTTGCCTGGTTGAACTGGTGCATGCTCGGCTGAACCATCTGCTTGTTAGGCTGAACCATCTGTTTGTTGGGCTGACCCATAGGCTTGTTTGATTGAGCCATCTGCATGTTGGGCTGAGACATTTGCATGTTTGGCTGGGACATCTGCATGTTTGGCTGGGACATCTGCATGGCAGGTTGGCCCATCTGTTTAGAAGGCTGAACCAACTGAACACTGGGAGGTTGGGACATCTGCAGAGGGGTCTGCTGTGTTAGCTGGACACTCGGCTGTGTGATCTGTACGTTAGGGGTCTGACTGACAGGCAGGGATTTAGGAGGGGTCTGTCCGTTGATAGGGTTAGAAGGGGTCGGGGGTAAGGGGCCTTTCTGGAGTCCCGTACTCATGTTCGTAGTGGAGATGGTCACGTTTGGGGGTGGCACCTTGCTGAGCGGGGAGGGTTCAACATTCTTCTCAACTGGTTGAGGTTGAGGTTTTGTCTCCTCTCCTGAGGTGTTCTTGTGGTCCCCCCATTCAGTGGCATCGTCAAACAGACAGAGTTCTGTTATGTCCTGACTCTCGTCCAGCAGTGAGCTGATTATTGCGTCTACGTCCTCTCCGTTAAAATCCTGTTATATGTTAAGTCATCGATAAAGAAGGCCTTTTTTAAGGTTTTAGGTTTAAAAGTAATAGCGCATAAAATATGCAAATTAGATTACACAAATTATCTATCTAAAAGTGTATGCATTTGGTTAATGTAACTTACATCGATGCCATAGTTTGGTTTCTTGGAGGCATTTTCGAGAGATTTATTGGGAGACGGAGATCGCTTGTTCTTGTTCTGAGAAGTGAGAAATCAGCCGATTAAAATTAAATTAATTTTGTAAGTTCATTTAAACAATACTATTACATTTCCACGGAAATCTGATGAATTATTTAGAAATTTATCATTCAGAAATATCTTTAAAACGGCAAAATATTACCACGTACGAAACTTTTAAAAATCTAGAGGTCAAGGGGTGTCATCACACAATATGACGTGTCCAACCAATATGTGAGAGTTACGTAACCAAGTAACAGGTAACCAGGTAACCAAGTAACCTGGTAACCAAGTAACCTGGTAACAGGTAACAGCTAACTAACCTTCGGTTTGATATCTTGATGTTCAGGGGCAGAAACAGGGGCCGCTGATTCGGGTAACTGTGACATAACTTGAGGCTGCATCTTTACATTGTGCACCTGTAATCGTGGGACTAGTTGACAAATGATTAATAAGGGACTAACAAACAAATTATTAATTAGTGATAAGTCTAGCCTTTTTATCGGAACTTTAATGTGAACAACTTGACGTATGATATGTTGGATGGGCTTGGAGGAATTGAAAGAAACTGCAAAATTGGGTTACATATCAAAATATTGAGGGAAGCAGTTCATCCATTAACCAATTTATATCAGATAAATCTACAAGAGTTTCAAACTTTCTATAAAAATAATTGGCAGTGAAATTTGGGCATTAATCAGAATATGATTACTCAGATGTCGAGCTAAGAAACTATGAAACTCGTGGAAAATCACAAAGTAAAAAAAACAACATGTAAAGTAATTCACCTGAAGTTGTAAGTTGTTGATCTGGTGTTGTGACGTCACAGTTTGGTTGTTCAGATGGTTATTATTCGGCAGATGTTGTCCGTTCAAGTGGGCCTGGCCGTTCTGTAAATGTTGTCCGTTCTGCAGGTGTTGTTGTCCTCCGTTTTGGTGGTGGCTGTTCGTCAACTGGTGGTGATTATTGTTCAGGTGTTGTTGGTTGGTGTTGTTCTGTTGGGGATGCTGTCTCTGATTCTGTCCCGGGTGTTGGTTCTGCACTGGATGTTGATTCTGTGTTGGATGTTGGTTTTGCACTGGATGTTGGTTCTGAGCTGGATGTTGGTTTTGGGCAGGGTGAGGACGCGCGCCGTTAGGTATATTGAGGTGAGGCTGGTTGTTGAGGTGGGGAGCTTGTTGGCCAGGAAGGTGATTGTTGAGGAGCTGGGATTGTTGGTTGTTGGGCAGATGATGACTCGGCTGGTTGGGAATCCCTGGTCCGTAATATCCTGAAGAGAGCCAAGTTAGGGAACCAAGTTAGAGAATGTAAAGTAAGAGAACTTAGTAAGATGACTAAGTCAGAGAGCCAAGTACAAGTCTGAAAACTCATAAAATTAGTTCAGTTTGAAGAAGCCAGGACCGGGAAACATTAAAATACATCAGTAAAATCTAAAGAAAGCTACATTACAGTACCTTCAGACAGAACAATACTAATTGGTTATTAAGTGAAGTGCGTAAAGGACAGGTAAAACTATACTGCTTAGAGCACAACCAATCTAACTACATAACAAGATCTCTCCTTCTCTCTCTCCACACACCTTATTAACTCTCGTAGTACAACTAATTAAGTAATTATATAATCGCCACATTTGTAATTAGTTCACATTTTAGATAATTAGACTGTCATACTGAGGAGGAGGATGATATCACATTTCTTTGTAATTTGGATTGCAATTTCAATATCAGCCCATAATTTGTATTATTATTTTAATACCCCCTACTCAAGTAAAACTCAGTCTTAAGAAGTATTGAAAATAATTAATTCAGGAAAATCAACTAAGCAATGAACTTTATTTTGATTAATTAACGTAAAACTAACCACTAATACTATACAGTATACACACGTACACTTATTAATGCGAGTTCACTTATAAATTCAAGCGTAATTATACAACAAACTCATTAAGTCATTAGTAGCTTATCACGCGTAGCTAATGTTACAAACTAATTAATAATACTAATTAATAGTACTAATTAATAATACTAATTAATAATGCAGATAAATTAAAGATGAAAACTCACCAGGAATTTGGTGTTGGTAGTGTTGTTGTTGTTGCTGTTGTTGTTGACCAGCTGCGTCTGCCTGTTGCTGGACGTAGTATCCCCTCTAAAAGTGAAACAAAAGGTTAAAATCACAACAAATGCAGGTTTATAAACAGATTATCAAGCTACTTGAGGGTTATAAACATATTATCGAGTGTTATAAACAATAATTATAAACAATCGCTGACTCTATTACTCCTGCAGAAAAAACAACTCAATTTGTGACAGAGATAAACAATATACACGTGGAACTACTGCGAACTGTAGTAATGAAAGTGTACACCTGTACTACCAACAGTAATAACTACAATGTGTAACTACAAAGCGAAGTATCACACGAAACACCGACATAGCACACAAGCAGTGCATATCATGAAGTAACTAGGTTTAAGATGGAAAGTACGTGCGTGTGTGTCAAGAGACATCTCAAAGAACGGTTTCAATACAGCTCTCTCTCTCACTCTCTCCCACTCTTACTCTCTCACTAGAGCGGCTAACAGCTGGCGACTGTCGCTACACACTCAACTAATACTGTGTACTGTGTATAATTTGTGTGTACCGTGTGCTAATGTGCCTGTCACGTGATCAAAGCGGTGATGTCACGTGATGTGGCCAAGAGAGGCTGATATATACTGTGTTACTTATCACCTGATAGTATTGATATATCACCCTTAGTGGGCGTCGCAGGGAACATTAAATAAATTCTTAAAACTAAAAGGATCTGCGTCAAACCCATCTATATATCTTTCTGAACAATTATCACAAGGATTTAGTTCAACGCAATAAAGTATAAACTAACTAATGCCTCGATAAAATACGTGAAATAATATATAGTCAAGCAATATTGGCATCTTTTTCCTAAGGGAACATATCAAAAAGGGCAGAAGTTTTCGTCCAATATTGACAATGTTGAGATACAAATTATTACAACGATATTGAAAATTGGGCGAATTGAGCTTGAAAAATGTCGACCCTACCAGAAAGTCAACTTCGCGTCAACACAAATAAAAGGCAAAAAGGCTGTACATTTATTAATAAGAGGGCAACAAAACGTATGTGATATTTAAACAGCTGTGCAGCTTGCAAGGTCCTGGCAATGTGCCAGGTGGGGCGAATCTTTCTCACGGGAGGAGTGAACACACTGGTCCCTTCTTCTCCCTCTCTAACTTCCTGCCCACATTGTTTACCAAATGTCACGAGTCAAAACAAACGTTATCGTTTAACCCCCCTTCCCCGCCCCTTAAACGACCAACTAGAAACAACGTTAGCGAACGCAGAGAGGATGAGTTAATCTGTGACATTACCTAGGAATTAGAGCTAGAAAACTGCACGAAAATACAGACAAACACTTTATGTACTAGCTTGAAAATTGTGTGCACAGGCTTGACTGGTTAGCACAAGAAAACACAGCACGTGGGCGCTTTGGCGTGATCTGATTGGTAGATTCCGGGTCACGTGCAAGTAATGCAGTGCAATGATTGGTCCGTGAGCGTGATGCGTGTTTTAATTAGTAATGCGTTTCCTAGTGCCTGCTACTGAGTGTATTGTATGGTGTTGTCACACAGCTGAGAATATGTGTGTGTGTATGTTTGAGTGTGAGTGTGCGTGTTTATAAGTTTGTGTGTAAAAGTGAGTGTTCCAAAGTGTGTTTATGAATCATGTGGTTTTAATTGAGACGTAATCAAATTGTGTGCGAGCGAGTACTTCAAACAGATAAAAAGGTTAAAGAACACCGTTACAATAAATACGGAGGGAGGTAAAAGAAGGATTTGCTGTGCAGCCTGCAGAATTTAAATACTCAATATCGTCAATATTTCCGACTATCTATCTATCTCTATCTAGGTCGGTCCAGATGATATCTGGAACGAGTTTATAATATTGCCGACTATCCGGTATTAAAGACAAAAGTTCCACCAGATTGCTTAACTAATTTGACTTTACAAGTAAGAATTGCTGAGGAAATCAGATATTTTTATAGGAATTGCTTAAGGCAACAAATCTTTTGAGGATATTGTCTGTAGTAAAACTCAATTCCTCTGTAGATTTGTTTCAAGCGCCTCTTGAAAGAAATACACTTTATTTAAGCGCAAAAAATTGTTTATCCTAATCAAATGTGTAGGTCCGGACAATGAACTTTATTATTTTAAGGTTTTAAGTTTAAATTTATTTTTACTTAATATACCAGCGTTCTTGAGATTCACATAGTCCATATTTGTGACATTTTATTCACGTACTGATTTTAAAGCGATAGTATCGTTCCGGAGCAAAACACAACAACAAGGTTAGGAGGCAATCTTTGAATTTGTCGCAAAAAGAGCACACCTACAGGGTGGGCGACAATTGACCCCCCGACAATATAATTTAATACAATAAACCCTGACCCTGACCCTGACCCTAACCCTAACCCGATCAATTGACCTTTGTGTAATTACATCAATTGTCGGGGGGGTCAATTGTCGTACTAATCCTTAGATTTCGCGACAATTGACCCATAGGGGGTCAATCGTCAGGGGTCAATCGTCAGGGGTCAATTGTAGGGGGGTTAATTGTCGTACTAAACCTTAGATTTCGCGACAATTGACTCCAGTGTAACTACATAGGGGGTCAATTGTCGCGGTCCATTGCACGATTTAGGTACTTCACAGGATGTAGTGTATCAGATATAGATATGTATCTGTCAGTTTAACGATAGACTCATCCGTCTGGATTTACACCACAAAGGATCTCTTGGTAACGACCCAAATAATTCTGTCCATTGTCGTGATGCGTCACGTACCGTCTAGCTAGGGTCTTAGTTTCATGTTTATACACGTCACGTACCGTCTAGCTAGGGTCTTAGTTTCATGTTTATCGATTGAACACAAAAACCATTTATACACGAGTGACAAGTAGTCACGGCCTAACTTTATCGTATGTATATTGGCTAATTTATCTATCAATAAATGGTTATCAAAACTGACTCCACGCCCAGACCTATCTAAAATTCTTCACAGTACCCAAGCCCGAATAGAACCTACTTGGATCCAGAGAAAAATTAAAAACTTACTTTGCGGAGGAAAAATCATTCACAATAGCTACGATAAAGGGTCATTATTTGCTGCTGTCTTCAAATCATCGAGAAACTTAAAAACAGAGTTTCAAAAATATCTCTTAAAAATACTGCAACGTTTCCGGAATTAATTTAAAGTCATAACGATTTGATAAATGATAGATTAAAATATCAGCGATGGTTATAAATGTGGCATTCCAAAGGAACACGCCTTTTTACATCTGCTTACATATAATCAAGAACAAACATACCTACTTTAGTTTCACGTAAATTCAGATGAATTTCTCGGAAAATTATGGACAGATACATTCCATTTTACATTAAAGTATCTCTTGGCAACGTGCCAAATACCAATGTTTCAAATATCCCTCAATTTCAGGACTCAGGATAGAATAAGAAAACCATTTTATCTATGATCCTGGTCATGAGTCAAATTTTTCGAGTGCATATTGATCAGGTCATGGTAATCTATTCTGGGTCTTGGCACCAAATCTTTTCCGCTCTTACCAAGAGAAAAAACATCCAAACATGTCTTTTTTAACACGATAAAGGGCCAAACTTCAAATTAATCACGACAGCGGTGATTTTCAAAATTATAATTTAAAAACCGTTAACTATGTCGAATTTTAACCTGACAGGTTACTTTATTGGGGGGGGGGGGGGGGGGGGCCTTTATTTGAATAGGAACTTCGCTGATGAAACCAGAAGGACAGAAAAGCCAAACTTCAAACTTGGAACAACTCCGTTTATAACCAAAAGAGTATAAGCTGAGAAAAGGTTAACGAATCGTACCGCTACTTTTCAAGATACACACGAAACTGTTGACATCGTATTCGCTGAATAAAACTATGTCATTAGTTTTATTAAATCCACAAGAGGGATACGATTTTGTTCCAGTATTCTCAAAGTCGAGAAAATTGTTTTATATATGACGCAATGAAACTATTGGGCCACGATGCATGGGGACTTGCCACCCCATGGCAACATTGAAATATATTGATTCTGTTACATCGTTTCCTGTTAATATAAAACTCCGTCACAAATTGAACTGGGATCTGGCAATGCTACACCTTAGATCAATAAAATATGATATATATGTCGAGTAAAACTATCAAACTATGTTATTTAAATCTACAAGAGCAGTCTCGAATTAACCAGAGGGATAATATTTCTTTTAAGGGGAAAGATATTGGTGATCAGGCTGTCAAGACTCAAGTTACCGAGAAATGACGAGCACGATGGATTAAATCCTGCGTATCAAGATATTTACGGCAGGATATAACGTAGTTCGACATCGTATATGGATGTGGATTGTGGGGTTAATGCTACTGTTAACCATTACAACTCCGTTACTGTTATACAGCATTGTGCGTACATACGTGTAAGCAAAAGACAATACAAGGTGGTTGATGGCCAGGACAATGTTGAGATAGGAAATTTACTTTTCCAGTATTGTCGAGATGGGGGTTTTAGTTAAAGTTAGATGTCAGGTTATATTTCAGGAAATTTCATATTGAAAAAACATTGTCTTAATCCGATGTTTTAAATATCAAGATACGAATTTATTCTAGTATTCTCAAAGTCGAGAAAATTGTTTCATTCCTATTATGAACAGTACTCGTCAGATGACAAGCGTACAAAAGTATGATTTTCTGAGCAAATCACTAAATCAGGTTGAAAGAGTTAATTGGTTTCGCTATCTGAAGTTTTCGCTTAAGTGCTTCAGTGACAAATTATCAAAGTGACGTCACCGACATTCTTGACAATTGCTTTTTGGCAATTCTTGAGTAGAGGAATGTTGTCAAAATTACTCTAACTTATTCCCCACGAAACTGGTTTAACAGTTAATTCTGAAGTAACGAATATATATATGAAGAGAAGAGCAATTAATTAGAAAGATTTACCTAACAACTTCGTTATTATGATTTACAATATCAGAAGGCCTCTCTTAGGAAGATGACAGCATTTCTGGACTCAGTAGAATTCATAATACAAGATATGGCACATATCTCACTGTCTCAAAACTGCATATCTTAAGCGTATGTTGATTAACCCCAAGGAGACACTGAGCCACATAACCTTGAAACTGCTTGTGTGGTCAACCCTATCATGTAACGATCAACTGTGTTCTTGCTGCTTTCATATTGTTAGTGGATTGTAACCGCTTTATCTTTTGTTGCGATTTCCCCAATTTGTTAGATTTATTGAGCGAAACTGGCTATGTTTTTGTAGTTTAAATTCAGTTTTCGTAGACATCAATTTTAGCGACTCAGCGCTTTAATTTCTACCTAATTCTAAACAAAGTTTGCTTACTAAAGCCAACCCGGACATTACTCCAGTGATCAGGCACGCTTCTAACATTAGGGTTTAGTTTAGAGCCAGGCTAGGGCTCTGACTTAAGTTAAAACAAGCTTTGCAACTTTAACTTGGGAGTGCCCGACTATCCTTGGTAGTTAAAATGTTATTTAGAATAGGTAAGAGCAGCGCTGATCTCGACATTTGATACTGTGATTAACATTAGATCTACATAGTTGCATGATTAGAGCACACAGTTTAAATACTCGGCACAGCTGATAAGATCCCCGCAGTTAATAAACTTCAGGAGCACCACCAGCAAACCTCCTGTCTGCTGGTCGTGTGTAACACTGTAACGTCAAGTCACCCCTCTTTGAAGTTTTACCCATATTTCAAGAATCTCGTGCGAGGCTGAATTTTCGTGTAATGTCGTGAAATCTAAAATTAGAAATGCAAACATCTCATAAGTCCAGGCCATTATTCCAACCCACGTGGGTTGAAAGTTTGTACGTGCGCGCCATATTTACTGCTGACTTGTTCAACTTGAATAGTCGTCCAGACACAAATTTCACAAAGCACACAACAATGCGCAATGAAGCCGCCGCGCGCAGAGTTTCCCGTATATGGACGTCTGCATTAGGACACTCCTGTTACGTCATCAGGGCGGAAATGTTACGAATAATACTGGCCTGTAACTGGTCCAATGCCCTTGTCTGGAGGTCTTGTGAGCTAGATTAACTATTGGCATGTCACTGGGCGGTGTTTATACCAGTGTGTACATCTTGCGGAGGTAGTACAAGGCTATGTTATATAATCCATTTCTAACAAAGAGAGATTCTTCTTAATATACCTGGATTAAATCACAGTCCTATTTAGTGTATATACTGCTGGCGGGTGTACTGCAGGCACGCGGCTAGCCTTGTGTGCAGTCTATGGCATTTAAGTACAAGCAACGGTGTGCTTATTAATGGGGCAGTCAAGAGGGTTGCAACACTGCCAAAATGGGAAGATTGCGAAAATGGGAAGATTGCGAAAATAGTTTATGGTTAAGTATTTAGTTTTGTTTAAGTATTTCGTAATCTAGCAGTGCATAGTTAATCTGGAAGATTAAGATTAATATGGAAGATTAATATTAGTGTGTGAGAAATCGGGCGAATGAGTGTCTATGTTTGGAGTATGACAAGGTCATTGCATCATGGTACATCTATAGTTTAAACATTATCTAGTTTCTTGCTGCAGCTGATTTATACAGTTTTGCAGACTTGGTGATATAATGGTTTTAGCTACATGATTGAGCAACTGTTCCTATCAGAAAACCTTATAAATACTCTGCTTCTTAAACCACTTTATAGTTGATACCACACAATAATCCTGTACGATATACAGATGCTCTGAGATCTAACTAACTCAATCTAATTGCCTAATTAAAAAGAGCGAATTTACAATAAACTTCTTAACCATGAAGTAAGAAATTGAAATGTGTTCACCATGCTTTGATAAATTATGGCGCGAAACTGTTTGACAGTGAAATGTATCTAATGGACATTTGCTGGCATCGAATTGATAAGAGAGGAATTTACGACTTGATAACCTATCTCTACTTTTGTAAAAGTGCGAATTATTACGTCATAATACCAGAAAAGAACGTTTACCTAATCATTACGACCTTTTACAAGATTTACCCAGCCGTTCCACCAAGCGATTTCATCGCAGATACAACATATTTAGAGTATTTTTAGACACATTTATCACACAAAAATTAAAAATCACGAACCTGATAGTTTCCGGGTATCATGTACGCTTCCGGGGGGAAATCTTTCGTTTTGCCGCCCAAATGAGGTGGCTTCTTTTGCTTACTGTTCAGTATCCGCTGATGCAATGTCTGAAATTGGGTGGCACCTTAATATCATCGTTAATAACTCAATAAATCTAGATAATGACCGTGTCACGTAACTCCTATAACTCCTAGTAATTACTCGTGTAATAACACATTGTTTGGTGATTATAATGAGATTGCTGCACATATCTCTGCAGCACGCTAGTATCCAGTGCACAGTTCCTGCTGCTCTGCACACCTCCATACAGGGTGATTTAACTGTGCAGCCTTTCTCTCTTCCTCATTATTAAACACCGCACCCTGATTTGAAGCAGTGTTACTAGCGGTGGGGTGCCATCTCATGTTTCAGGATCTGTTTCAAGTCTGAACCTATTTGTGTGCTCACATTTGTCTCTCATTAGATTATATACTTAAATAATAACTACATCTTCTCTTAAGAAAGCTGTGTTTGACACACGGCGTGACTCATGACATTGACGGGTTATGTGCACTGTTCCCTGTCTTTAGTGACGGGTTGCTACTGGCAGGGAGTCTGTACTAATTTCAGAGAACAATGACTTAACAGTGAAGTTGTACAGTTGTGTTACTGAAGTGGAGGGGGAGTTAGTGGGTTTTAACTGTCACATCTGCAGAGAGAGAGAGAGAGAGAGAGAGAGAGAGAGAGAGAGAGAGAGAGAGAGAGAGAGAGAGAGAGAGAGAGAGAGAGAGAGAGAGAGAGAGAGAGAGAGAGAGAGAGAGAGAGAGAGAGAGAGAGAGAGAGAGAGAGAGAGAGAGAGAGAGAGAGAGAGAGAGAGAGAGAGAGAGAGAGAGAGAGCACTATTGGAAGTATTATAGAGGAGGAGTATGGTAAGTTTCAGAGTTGTAGCAGTGTTTTAGAAGAGTCACGAGCGTGTGTGTCAGTATTTTGACAGTTATTTAGTCAGTATTAGAGAGTGTTACTAGAGTGTCATTAGAGAGTGTTACTAGAGTATTAGTAATACTTTAGTATACTAAGTACTGTCATTGGGGAGGCGTATTTAAGTATCCTTATGAGACTATTTGATAATCATAATATTTCTAGGTTGAATAATACAGAAGAGATATGTATCGAAGTGTTGTTGTAATGCCACAATCCGAGTATTACAATATCACCAGTACAGTAATTCCAGTATTAAAATAATGAATAACAGTGCACTACAATAACAGTGTTATAATGAGTTATAATACAGTACTAGAGATTCCATTCATATCACAATCTGCTGGCTTCATGTTAGCAACACAAACATAGTTTAAACCATCCCACAATACGTACAAAACATTACTACTTGCGATCTTTCTTACACACCGCGAGTACACGCCAGAGATTGATTGCATAATTACTAAAATTGAGCAGCCTCATCTCTTGTAATATGCATACACGCGATATACACATATTAGTAGTGCTCCCTTTAGTACAATGAGAGCTGTTTAGTGTGGGTTAGTGTGGGAATAGTACTGGTTCACCCGGTAACCGGTACTGGTTCACCTGGTAACCGGTACTGGTTCACCTGGTAACCGGTACTGGTTCACCTGGTAACCGGTACTGGTTCACCTGGTAACCGGTACTGATTCACCTGGTAACCGGTACTGGTTCACCCGGTAACCGGTACTGGTTCACCTGGTAACCGGTACTGCTTCACCTGGTAACCGGTACTGGTTCACCCGGTAACCGGTACTGGTTCACCTGGTAACCGGTACTGGTTCACCTGGTAACCGGTACTGGTTCAACCGACAAACCTTGCCGGTTTAATGATCAGAATAATGATCTGGAACTGTATACCTTGGCACATATACGTGCAGTCTCCAAGCATGATGGCTTCAAGCATGATATGACGGCGTTCATGCTTTCCTTGCCGGATAAACCGCCAATGTGGGGCTTCACATCACAGAACTACAATTCTATACTGGACTGGCGTAACGATCGAGAGGCATCTGCTCTCTGGGGTGCAGGTGGTCTGCAACTCTGATGGCCTGTCGAGTTTCGACGAAGCAGATCAAAGGTATCAAAGGAAAGGTAGTGATCAGAATCAATTTGTTTCGATAAACGTTTTTCGCTCGCATCTTACTTGGGAAAAGAAGCCTTATTAAGGATGTATTTGTACAGTAAATGTAGGGCTGTGCATATTACAGTGGAAGCGAAGAAGTCGCTACATTTTGGTACAAGTAACAATTGTTCGTCGCATTCCTAAAACCACAGGGGTTGTAACCATCTGGTGGATTCTTGGAATTTTTGACTTAAAAATCAGAGAAAATGAGTTTGCCATTGTGTGTCAAATGAATTGTACCGGTTATTTGAGAAGAACAAAGCTATGTTTTGAAGTGTAGTGTGCGATGATGGAAATATACAAAATTTATAATGTCGGCTGGGAAGGCTTTGAGTCGTATTTAAACTAAAATGAAGTCACGGTGTTAAAAATTGGCGTAAAAACACGCGTGTTTTTATAATGAAGTGAAGTCTTCCTGAAACGAAAATTCTGGAAGCTCCCAATCTTTACTATGGTTTACTATGGTGGGTCGGAATATAACATAATATTGTGTCATGCTTGGGTGCCATGCTTGGGTCGACCAGCTCATAAATAAGCTTTGTTACAAAAGCAGCTTTTGTAGCAAAGCTTTAGAAAAGCTACATTACTATAGCAGATCTTAACTCTCCAGCAGATATCTACTCTCCAGCTGTTGTTAAACGATAAAAACTAATGGTAGTTGCATGAACAATTAACAGCATGTTAATCTAAAATTACTAATAATTAACAGCATGTTAATCTAAAATTACTAATAATTAACAGCATGTCTTTACACAGTTATGGAGAAGGAGAGCCCGAAAGGGGCTCACTTAAAAAAGTAGGAGACGAGCAGATAAACCTATTATTAATGTTATTAACTTAATATACTTACTCTTTTATTGTTTGTTTTAATGTTTCCGTTATTGTTTATATAATACGAGACACAATATGTTGTAATTAGTACTGTATATTATAATAAGTACTATATTTTCAGTACTCTTTTACAGTATGTGATAAATAAGTAAGTTAAACGTGTTAACTCTGTTAACAGTCAATACCGTGCCTCCATTTACCAGGTTCCTAGTGGCGAAAATGGCGGGAAATTATGAATTGTCCATCTTGAAGGCGTACATTTACAACATTTTGCAAGATGGTAAGAACTTTAGCCACTTTTCCAATGTTGAAAATAACACGTCTAGAATACATTTGGTTATAAGTGAATAATCTTAATATATCCGAAATATCACAGGACAATCTTACCTTGTTAGTATCTTCTTCATCTCGTATTTGCTTATTTTCGTATTTCTCATATCTGAAAATGGAATGTCGTTACAAAGTATGGCACTATTAGGATTTGAACACGCAAATAGATCAAATGAATGTATACACTTCATTCTTACCCGATCTAGTCTGACCCGTGACGGTGCAGCGACATGATCAATTAATATAACATGATTAATGAATATAACATGATTAATGAATATAACATGATTAATGAATATAATGCTTTCAAGTCGGTTTGATCTATAGGATCTGATCACGTCTTCAGTTCAATTGAGATTTGAGTATTATTAATTACATATTCAGTTAACTATAGTGCTCACAATTCCTGTGACGTTCTGATCGTTTCATAAGAAAAACGGCAGCTGCCGACAAAGCCTTGGCCGACAAAGGTTACAACTCGGCTCCTCGACGACGGTCGACATAGTTAAGAGTCGACATCATTCCTTTCGAATTACTTAGAAATAGCACACGGCTATTCTACACACAATAATAACACCTAAATTACCTTTAAAGCTCCTCAGAATACGCTTATAATTATTATTTGACAAATCCGGATAACTGGATATCATAAGGGCTGGTACATATCATTTTTAAAATCTGAAATTCAAACATCGCAAACTGGTGAGTTCATTTTATTTTTGTTCGTTACTGGCATATTTTCATGAGTAGACTGAATAGACGTGTGTACGTTAACAGATGTCAATGCCATACAAAAGGGTTTGAAAAAACTGGCAGCTTGATGTTTACCTTTATATCAGTTCTTCTTGACTCCTGTTTAAGCTATGTACAATGTACATGTGAGTCATTCAGTCATTGCAAATGACACTTTTACTGTTGAGTAAGTGTGACTTTAATATATGGAGAAAACTTTGATTATTATTAACCATTTACCAAACGTGGATACCGGGTAAAAGAGATGAAACCATCATGATTAACGACTTGCAAACAAACTCCAATTGTTCAGCGCGAGAGATAGAGCAGGCCCTATTGCTCAGAGCCCTGTAACTGGTTGATAATGAAAATGGGGGGAGGGGGTGACGTGGGGGCGGGGGGGGGGGGGGGGGGGGGGGCGGGGGGGGCCGGGGGTAGGTAAGCTCATGATAGTTTAAGAGTCTCTCTCTTCAGCTGCAGGAGTTGGAGACATAGGGACGCGTTGTGAAAGCCGCCGTACAGGAGAGCTTACAGTTGACTAAGATTCAGAAGAAGAGTTTGAAGAGAGCTGGTATATTGCCAGCAGTAACCAAACTGACAACAAACATGGGAAATAAACGTTGGTTCTGGGGTTCTGGAGAAACGAAACTCTTTGTAATTTCCCCATCAAACTGGATGGCCGATTCTGATGAATTTGATGCCCATTTAGGTAAGATAAAAGTTGAGAGTTGAGTATTAATTTTATGCTTTCTGATTATTATTTAAAAGTTTATTTTCTGTGGAACTTGTGACCGACAGATTCATGTTGTCAATGTTGATTCATGATGTAGGCCGATTAGGTAATTCTTACCGAATTTAATGCCATCTTTGGTAAAATCAACTAATATCACTCTAAGTGAAAATCTACTAAACGTTTAGTAGATTACATCACAACGTATAATGTACGAGCTATAATTTTTTATTTAACTTAAACATGTGGCTGGGACGAATCCTAATTCTTATTGTTCAAACACAACTTCTTAAAAGAGTAAATTATTATTACTCCCACATTGCTTACTAGCTTACTATATTACTATATTATATACAGCACTGAGCACACGCCGTCTCGACACTAGTCGACACTCGACATGTTGACCAGTATCTTTTTGTTTCGTCAAAATCAACTCTTAGTATACATTTGTTGCTGCCACAAAATACAAAATTTATAAACGATGTCGGACAAAAGAAAGAAGGATGACTTATGATGTGAAACAACCCTGTGTTGCGCAGTAATTATAAACGTTTTAGAAGAGTTGTACAGTTGTGTACAGTTGGGTGGCAAAGTTTAAAGGAAATTACTGAGGAAATTTATAAAATCTTTGAAAAAAGGGACAAATTTACAAACATTCGTACAGAAAAAAGGACGAACAAAATTAGTTACCTTGCTAAGGCGTTGGTGTGTTGGGGTTGTAAAACATCTCTAAAGTGGCTGTCGATGGCGTGCGAGTTCTTCATCACCGACACAGGATAACTCATAGCATGTTATCTATAACAATGAGAAGTTTGTTTGTTAGATATTTGCCAAACGAAACAAAGTATTTACTACCCCTGTAACCCGTTATTATGCGACAAAGATATTGTATAAAATGCGACTAAATAATTTACACAATACGGTGCCCAGTAATGAGCGGATGTCATATACGAATGTTATATTTATACATATTATTTATAAAAGAAGTAAGTTTGTGGATTTAATGTGGTCACCCATGGTTGTGAAATGGTTGGACGTAACATAGGATTTTATCTAAGATAAAAGTAAAAGCATTTGATTAATAACTTGTTGAGTGTTGACAACTTTATCGAAAACGGGAGTAAATAAATTTGTTAGATATATTACAACAGAATCACAATTCCATTATACATATAATATATTCAGTATTCACTTATATAAAGACGTCACAATACACAGCATATCATTTCAATAATATGATAGCTCTCGTACATATCTGACGTAATAAAGAACAAAACATGTAGGGATCTGACGACGTCAGTTGACTCACAATTTAATAATCCCAAGCTGCTACATGTTTCATCAACAAAAATGGCATGAAAAATCGTTTAGAAACCCACCTGGTAGTAAGGTGCTTGGTTCTAACTAGTTGAGCAACAATGTAAAATCAGATCTTAGTCTGAAGCAAATCTACATTACACTGTAGTTGCAGTAGAAATAGGTCCTAGTCTACATTATACTGTACTAGTAGTTGAAATAGGTTAAACCAAACTATAAATAGAGATGACAAACTAATGATTCGATGCTGAAGTCCGAAAGGAAGGCATTTATAGACCACAACAAAGGGGGGAATATATATAGAACTTCTCAGTATTTCTCTCTTACTCACATTATAATAGATGCTTCCTTAGAATTGAGAGATGCTTCCTTAGAATTGGAGTCCCGCAAGGTTCAATTCTAGGTCCAATTCTGTTTATACTGTACACAAAGGAGCTTAATCATATTGCAAAGAGACATGGATTTAACATCCACATGTGCGCAGATGACACCCAACTTTACATTGAGTTTAACCCACTATTTCGAGATCTGTCAACAATCGAAGAGAGAATTACACGTTGTTTTCAAGAAATTAAGAGCTGGATGACCCAAAATAAACTCAAATTAAACCAAAACAAAACAGAAACTCTTGTAGTACAGACCAAGAACAGTTACTCTTCATGTCCAGTCGACTCAATACAACTTGACAATGCAGCTGACCTTGTGGATGCATCCCACACAGTAAAAAGTTTAGGTGTCCTCTTTGATCAATTCCTTACATTTGAAGATCAAGTCAATTCAATTATCAGTTGTTGCAACATCCATTTGAGGAACCTTCGAGTTAAATGGGCTCAAAGCTTAACTATGACCTAAAAAGACAGCTCATTCACTGTTTGATCTTTTCAAAACTAGACTATTGCAATGGACTTCTCTATGGTTTACCCGATTTTCTCATAAAGACACTCCAGAAGGTATAAAATTCCTGTGTACGATTCTTGTTTGGTAGAAAAGCTATTAAAAATGGGACAGTGTCACTCCATTCCTGAAAAAGGCCCATTTTCTTCCAATTAGACAACAAGTATAAGATTGCTCAAACAGTGTTCAAATGCATCAACAACATAGCTCCAGACTATACCACCAAATGCATCGACATCAAGAGTCAACCTGTACGTGTGCTACGAACTGAACAAGACTATTTCCTCCTAAATGGTCCTCCTGTCTCAAATTATAGTAAAACTGAGAGAGGTTTTAGTTACTGTGGACCCTCAGTATGGAATCAGCTTCCTTATCAATTGAGAACATTGACTGATATTGACTTGTTTAAAAAGAGACTAAAGACTCATCTACTTGAAAAAGTGTTCATATAAGTATCGTATAATATCTTTCTCATACAAACCATACTTCATTTAAAATGCTAAGTTCTTATGTACATGTTCATGAGTCGCTTTACTATGGCTTGAACTGAATCTTTGGGTTTTGAGTTCTTTTTGGCTATAAAGCGATGTATAAATTTCTAGAACTTATTATTATTATATCGGGTCTCAATAAGAGGTCTCGACTGCCTAGGCATCAAACCTTGGCAATCGGTAATTTTCCTCTGGCCCGGAGTCAGCTGACCCTAGGGACCAGAGGATAAAGGCGTAGAGACTGTGTGTATCTACAAAAGTGGTTGTTTTTACAAGAGACAGGGCTTGCAACGCAAGGGAAGAAAAACGGGAGAAACAAACACAAAATGCATATTAAATGACTTAGCAAATAGAAATTCAAACAATCCTACACTACAATAAATGTTTATTACATAATTATATTATGTTGTATAAACAAGAAACAGGGCTTGCAGGGCAAGAGATGGAACACATAAGAGCTGGCCACAGAGTGTATAATACAGTAATTCAGCAAACACCAATTACTAATACTGAAAACTGAATCACAAATTATCACAATAATTACAAGAATATACGAAATACTAAACACAATTTTTATACAAGAAACAGGGCTTGCAGAGCAAGGGAAGAAAAAAAAGAGAAATAACTGTAACAATTGTATTCACAAGGTCCAGACGAAAATAATCTTTACACAAATCTGGGAGTAATTTCAATACAGTATACTTAATAAATACAACAACTTTCCGATATGTACATTGATATGAGTTAAAAGTTGTATAAACAAGAGACAGGGCTTGCGGACGAGGGAAGAGATAAAAGAGACCAAAAAGTATATATTACAGTTATACAGAATAAATTAAAACTTCAAGAAGAGCTACGGTGTATTAAACACTCAATTAGATGTCCAAAACCATCCTGAGAATTCTGGCTGATCCAAGCAGAGCTGTCTTCTGAAGATTAGAGATGCTGCATCGAGGTGCTTACGAAAGTTTATGGTGACAGTTCCTAAAGCGCCTACCACCACTGGGACAATTGTAACCTTTCGTAAATTCCAGTTCTTCTTAATCTCTCTTTTTAGGTCTTGATAAGCTAGTATCTTATCTTGCTCTCTATCCAAGATCCGGGTATCTCCTGGTACGGGACTGCAACGTCGATGATGGTTGCTGCGTTGATTACCTTGTCTACCAGGAGAAGATCCGGTCTGCAGTGCTCGATAACGTGGTCTGACTGGATGTGAAAGTCCCACAATAGCTTGACTTTTTCGTTCTCCAACACCTTCTCTGCTCTGTGTTTGTACCACTTTTTACTGCGTGGGAATAGTTTATGCTTTGGATATTGAGTATGTAAAAAATATGTATTTTCAATATAATGTAGATTGTATGGGCAGCTTTTCCGCCAACATTCATTACAAAGAAAAATGTTTCAAGAAATTGTGATTCGAAGACAATAAATGTTGCACAAACAATTCCTGACTTGATGAGTTAATAATTCGGATATGAGAGCAGATCTACGTACGCCATATATCCTTTTCAAATATCTAACAGAATGAAGTGAATACCAGTTGTTGGAAAAGTTCCCAGAAAAATGAAACAATGGAAATATTTCATCTGGGAATAGAAATTCACTGCTAAGGACGAACTTTAAAACTTAAGTCTTAGAGTATGGCTGCAAAAAAACCGCGGCCACCCGCTACATCATTTTCCATCTCATGAGCAAACCTAAAAAAACACAGCAAGGAAAACAAAATAAAAGTCAAATCAATATACTGTATTTTGACAAGAAGGGAACCCACAAATCAGGATTGAAATCTTGAAACTAAGAGTCTCCTGACAAGCTAACTACAGCAAATATCACCGAGCAATATCGTGCTAGTAGGTCAGAGTAAACAGAATACATATTATTATTTCTCAACGTCAAGTAGGCTTTCTACGTTCACAAGTTCGCCTTGCATATATGTGAATATTGAAGCGATATGTTTGAAATTACTAATACTTTTTTAAACATTGGAATATAAGCAAATATATAAGTTTGGACTAACGACCTCAACCCATTGAAATTCATTTGACTGTCAGCGAAGTTCAATTAATTAATCTGATATCGTACAAATAAACGTCTGTGTAAGAAACTGGGTATGTTCCGACTTGCACGTAGATGTTTTTAGTCGGGGCAATTATAATTATGCAGATATTAAGCGGCAATTATATCTACACTGTACGGATAATCTGAGCAAAGACTTGAATTGAAACTGATTATGCGAACGGAGATTCTTGCCAGGAAATTTAAAACTTGCCACAAACAAATTAAATCATTTTCATATTGGAACGCATGTTTAAACTATTTTGACATGTTATAATTTACACATTTCACTTTTTTGTTGACCGTAGCAGAAAACACAGCTTGAAAAATACTGACTGATAAAAAACACTCGGCATAAATCATCAAAAATTGGATGCCATTACATCGTGCAGTGAGCACATAGTTCCTGCCGAAACTTGCATGTTCTATTATATAATAATAGCGAACCTTAAACAAAAAGAGGTGTACACATGTTAAGCCGATCGCATGACACCCAACACAGCCAACTGATTGGTTAATTACTGAAACCCTGTGCTCTGATTGGTTAATTACTGGATCTCTCGCTTCTCATTGGCTAGGGGAGACGACGACACTGCACTGTGTAGAAATACAGCCTCTAATAGGAGTCTCGGATTACACACATATATAATACCTGCTCTGAGGTAATGACGATTAATACTAAAATGTTAATACATGACAAGGTGCCCGATGTATTATATTATGCAAGATGTCAGATTGAATAATATGCAGGGAGGGATATGGTGTGATGGGTAAAGTCAGCGATATGTAATAGTTTGAGTTGTGTTTGAGAAAATCGGGGATAATTAATATCTACTGGTGGAATTGATAACTCCGCTTTTAATGTTTTAACAAAGAGACACTCAAGTGCCAGTTTGTTTGCCTGCATGAACGTTGCACACACTTACACTCACACTTACGTCTTACACTCACACTTACATTCACACTTGCAATCACACTTACACTCACGTTCACTTTAATATTCACACTGACAGTCACACTCATATTCATACTCACTCT